CGAGCGAGGGGGGTGGCCTATCGTTGGCGATTGCCCATGCCATGCAGCAAGCAACACTTAACGATTCGCTAGATCCCGTGAGATTTAGGATCAGCTTGATCAGCTTGATCAGCTTCCGAGCGGCATGAATAAGTGAGTTCGTCCCAGTCCCCAGTCCCCAATGGCAATCCACAATCCATCAGCCCGAGAAGAAGAAGAAGTCATAGTTTAGTCCAGTGACGGACGGACAGCGAGAGTGAGTAGGCAATAGAGACAGCTCCCTGTCACATGATGGTATCCTGCGGTTGGGAGGAGGAGAGGGGGAGGGGGTAGGTATGTAACACTTCGATCCGCATTGCGAGTCTATCTACAATACCCCGGAATCTAGAGTAGTGCTAGATATGCTATGTACTTGAGGAGGACTGTGTAGTAGGTATCATGCTAAAGTATTGTAAGTACACTACGTGTACCAGCCAGACCAACCACCAGTCTAAGGCCAAGGTGGGTAACTATATCGCTCATCTCCGCCTACCGTACATAGCGCATCGCTGTGACCCCCAGTTACCGGCGACTTGGTGTTGCAGCTTTAACGATGAATTTGGTAGACGCGGAACGAGCCGCGTGCGGTACTGGTAGCGGACGAGCTGGAGAGAGAGATATCAAGGGTTGGGCGAAAATAAAAGCGAGGAAATGAGTGTGAATGTGAATGTGGATGTGAATACCGGTATTACTCGGCGCTGACTACCGTTACTATTGCATCCAGTGGGGGGAGAAGAGAGAGGAGGTGTGGGGGCAGGAGGACGGACGGCGAGCGATCCGGAGAGTTTGCGTAGCGTTCAGTTCAGTTCAGTTCCCATTCGGACCGGCCGGAAGATGCCGCCTGCCGCGAATCGCCAGCTGATTGTGTTGGTGGTGGTGGGCGACGCTGGCCGGATCGGGTTCTCGATGGCGGCCGCGGTTCGTGGGGGGTGCGGGTGGATTCGGCAATCTGGTTGGATGTCTGACGTACCCGAGCTCGCAGCAGCCAGCAACCCAGTGCAACCGTCAGACCGGTGGACCGTCAGATGTGAGGGGAGGGGGGGAGGTGGCTTGGAAGTCACTTGGTCGTCCGTGAGCGGGCCAAGGATGATGGGCGGATGCGGTTCAGGCTTGCTCCCGAGAAGAGGAGGTTGACACCGCGGAAACTCGGGGAGTTCGTTTGGGAGGCGGGAGGGGGTTCATTTGGAGGGTGGGGGGGTGGGGGTGGGGGTGGGGGTGGGAGCCTGGGACGGGGAGGGTGTTGGCGTGGTATGTGTACTACCATAGCTCTAGGTACTCTGCCGACCATGGTTGTCCCGGCATTGTGTCTCCTCCGCAATGTCGGTAACAACTCAATCTCTTATGCTATTCCCGTCACCGGAATTCACCACACAATCAATCCATCCCCTTTATGCGGGTATGGCATGATCACAATATCGATCTGGTAGGTACTCACGCCTAAAGTACATCTCACACATTTAATCTGGGATCCAAGTCCACGTTGGCAGGTGCATCGCCCGGTTAAACCACTTCGGGATGGGGCCCTTTGGGATTGCCCATTGGCCGAGTGTCGACTGGATAAGCGGATGGCTTCTGACGACAGCACGAAAAGCCACATTTCCACATTTCCCTTCAGCCCAACGGGTCTAGCGGGGGGCAGAGTGGGGTTCCAGATTTCGACCGTGGGCACGCCGCCTTCTGAGCGCCTGCCGACGCCGCAGCGGTGCAGGCCGAGAAAGCTCGCCTAAACCATGTAGTGTACCAGTGCTCACATACCTGCTCTACCTGGCTGGCCGGCCGGCCGCCATCGCTCACCAGCAGAATCGCCGCCCGCGATCGGCTATTTCCCAGAGAGAGTGATCACCCCACTTCTCTGCACTGTAGGGTGCGACGGCAAATTGCAGCTGATTGGCCCGTTGCAGGGACAAGCCTTGTTTTTCGCCATGCCCATGTGCACCAACCATCAGCGTTCCGCAAAACATCCGCCGCAGATTTGGTGTGATACAGCCGGCGACCCGATCGATATATATATGGGATTATTCTGCTGCGTGCGTACATCGGGTTTGAGGAGCATGTAAAGTTGAGGGTCAAGTAGAGTATGGAGCAGACATTGAGGGCAGGGGCGGGGTGAGGGGAGCAAGCAGCCCAGGCGCCTTCCACGCGCCATGCGAGCGGGGGGGGCGATGCAGACGGAAGGAAACATCGTCCTTGGCGATCACGGGCGGACGATCGGCCGCGGCGGCGAGGGGGCGGGCGGGGGCGAGGGGGCGGAGACCGAGGGAGAAGAAGGTGGGGAAGAGGGGAAGAAGAAAGAAAGGTGGCGAAGAAGGAGAAGAAGACGAAGAAGAAAGGCGGAACATTCGAGATGGCGCAGAGGGAAAGGGAGACAGCTCGGCGTCCCAAAAGGAGAGTGTTTCGAGCATCAGCACGGATCAGGGCAAACGAGCCTCATTGAAGCTCCGGCGATTCCACCATCCGTTGATCGGCAGCAATTGATGCCGTAGGGGGCTAACGCGCGATACTTTTTTTTCTTCTTTTCCATTCTTTTTATTTTATTTTTTCATCATTTTGCTGCCTCGGTGGGAGGACGGAGTGTTTTCAACGAGGCGAAAACATGGGCGTGGCGTGGCACCGTGGACATTCAGCGTAGGGATGCCGGATTAGTTACTGCCAAGCTGGCCACACGCCACACCACGCCACCCACACTGCGCCATCCGCGTGACTCCGCCATGGCCGGACAGGCACCACCAGCCGCTATCAGCCACCATCAGCCACCATCAGCCACCATCAGCCATTACTACTAGCGCCTTGGCAGTAACGTTACCGTCACGACTCATGCTTTACTGTAATATAACATAACATTAGATACGTGACATTACGTTACTGTAACGTTACGGGCGGCATCCCTAATTCAGCGTACAGCGAAGCCAAAAGCAAGGAGGCCACACCGCAGGCGCGCGTCGCATCTTCGACTGGCTGTTGGCAAAAAAAAAAAGACTCGCGATGATTGCAGAGGATGCGTACAGAGGGGGTGTCGCTTGCCAGAGCGAGGCACAGCAGTGGTTGGGGGAGACAGGCATTGCGAAGAGCACATGTAGCTGTGTTCAAGAGCGGAAGTAAAAAAGGAATTATTCGCTACCAAGACACAGCTGAGCCGCTGAGTGGTGCATCTAGGGCGGTGGAACGTGACTGAGGATGGCTCGGTTGGCTGGCTGTCGTTTCGGCGGTGATTCGGCGAGCTAGTGGATGTGTGTGTCAAGTGTGTGTCGCTCTGCCGCCATCTAGCGATCCACGCATGCGCGCAGAGGAGAGGGGAGGAGGAGGAGGAGGGGGAGAAGGAGGGGGAAAGGCCAGGCGAGAACGAGGGAGGAGGAGAGGGGATTGGGGATGGAGGCAGCGAGGGAGGAGGGAGAGGGAGAGGGAGAGGGAGCAAGGAAGACGCCGGACGGAGAAGAACAAGGGAGACGCTGGACGGAGAGGAGCAAGGAGACGCCGGACGGAGAGCGAGACGCCAGGCAGAGAGAGTAGCCAAGGTCTACTCTACATACAAAGCCCGAAGAGGAGGGCGTAGCCTCGTGCTCGCCCGCTCTCGCTCGCTGCGTTCGTCCAGCGGCGTCAATCGATTCCCAAGGAAGTTGGTGACACGCCGGCGGCCACGCGGAAAACTCGGGCTGCGTGCAACCCCAATAACCGATTGAAAGGAGGAGAAACAGACGTTCGCCCGCCTGCCCGCCCGTCCGTCTTTTTTGGTCTGTGCTCTGGAGAGTGACGGCATACATCCTACCCGGCTCGGAACTGATCGCGGGTACATACCCAAGCACTTCTTACGTACTCTATTTGCCTACCCAGAGTACCTACTGGCCTGGTACAGTTTGTCGTTCGATTCGCCGGCCCTAGATACCCAATAACCCATCAACATATGAAGCCAGAAGGCGCTTCTTTCGTTCTTTTCTCTGCTTCCTACGTTGATACCTCACACCAGCTCCCTTAGCTACCGTGTGCCCCTCTACTACCACACATCCTTTCTCTACAAGCAACTCAAGTACCCATTTATTTGCTTACTTGGCTGCATAAACCCCTTCGACAGTACTCCAAGTACTGTGCAGAGCTTTCCCTCTTCCAATTCCCCGTTGTGGGTCGCCTGTCTGTCTGCCTGCCTTCCCTGGCCCACCCGCTTCAGCCTTCGTCTCCAGCCACGAGAGGGTTCGCCCAGGCCACACACGCCCTTAACTACCACTACCGTCAACCACCATCACAACCGCCATCGCCCACCTCCACCTCTACCACCACCACCACCACCACAACAACAACAATAACAATAACAACTACCAACACGGTATACCACCACCACCACCGTCGCCACCACCACCCACACCACCAACCCCGGAGACCCGGGCCGCCCTGCAGTCGCCATCTAGAGCACATACTTTCTTCGGATACTCGTCCAGCGCTTCTGTCGAGCCGCTTCTGCCACCGAAACAGCAAACCCGTAAAATTTGTTGCACACGCAGCGGGCCGAAAGCGTCAATCCGTCCTAAAGCGTTGCCTCCGAGTTCTCAATACGGCCGGTAGTGGTGGGGGCTTGCATGTGCTGTGTGGCGTTGGTGGATCGCGGTTCATTTAGCCTCTCCCCCGGCCGCTGTTCTCGGCTCCTTCCTGGAATCCTGCAAGGCGAAGGTTACCTAAAGCCTACCTACGTGCCTATCCCCAATTCTCCCTCCACTCGCCTTCGCTCAACTCCCATTATACCACTCCTCCAACGCCTGCCTGCCACTTGATTTGCGTGCCAGGATCCAGCCCACTTAACATCACCCTCAAAGGCGCCCACCCAAATTTATCTCCCACTTTATTACATTTTATCTCCTACCTTTGTCCGTCACTTCGTGGCCTCCTCCCCTCCGTATCGCCGGTTCTCCCGAACAACTTCTACTCTCCACCCCCGCCTAGACGACAACAACAACAATAACAACGATAACACAACAAAAAAGCACGCAGCCCGACAAATGCCTCCAGCTCGCCCAGCGGGCACTCCTCAACCACATAGCCACGGCCACCACCACCATGCCCACCATAATCACAACCATCCGCGCAGTCCAAATGAGCATCTGATTCAGTTCTACAACGGCGAGGACTCCCTCTTCGACGCAATTTCGAGCTTTATCCTCCCGAGTTTCTTCAGCAATGAGCATGCCGCCGTCATCGTGGCGACGAAAGCCCATCTCGAGGCACTCGATCTGTATCTGCGACAACAGAACCTGGTGCCCGAGCTGTTGCGGAAAAGAGAGCAGATGTTTCTCGCGCCAGCCGAAGTCATCCTGAAACAGCTGATGCCCAATGGGAAGGTGGAGGAAAAGATATTCTTCGACTTCTTCACGCCGCTCTTCCAGAAGCTGCAGAAGCGCTATCCGAGACTGCTGGTTTACGGGGAGTTGGTCAACATCCTCTGCGAAAACGGTGAGCACGAGCAGGCACATGAGCTCGAGGAGGTCTGGGAAACGTTCCTTGCGGGGAAGGATGCCGCATTGCTCTGCGGGTACAACTTGAATGTCTTCGCGAAAGACGGTTTGGAGGATGTGTTTCAGAGGATTTGCCGGTCGCATTCGCACGTAACACCCGCCGAGGAGGCCACAAGTGGGAAGGTGTTTGGGAAGCCGGAGGATCAACCTATGGTTCTTGCTATGCTTCAGCAGAAGAACTTGCGATTGGAGGCGGAGATGGGACGCAGAGCTGCCGTCGAGACTACTTTGAGGGCGACCTTAGATCATTTCGGCTCGAGGTCGACGGATGCCATACAGGTCCAGGAACGGGACGGTTCGGTGTCGCATATCAACCTGTTGCCTGTCGGCATCATGGCCGCCACGACGAATGATGGAATCACGGATTACTTCTTCAACGACAGGTTCTTGGAGGTTTCGGGTCTCAGCCGGATGGCGGTGGAGATGGATCCTGGGTGGGTCGGTGCGGTTCACTATCAGGATAGGGAACGTGTGAGCCATAATATTCGCCTCGTGGACGGCAAGACGAGGCGTATGGAATACCGCTTTGTACTCTCCGACGGTTCGATTCGGTGGGTGCTGGGCGAGTCGGTCTCGAAGGAGTCGGGTTATGTGCACACCGCGGTCGATATCACTTCGCTCCGGGGTGAAATTGTGCCGCCGCAACCGTTTCCTCCGCAACCGTCATCGAGATCGAGGACAGGATCGATAGCGTCGGGCAACGGCGTGGAGCTACCGCCTTGGGTGAGTGCGCACCTCGGAGGCCGCAAGAGGAGTATCGGCTTCAGCCGTATTTCTTCGCCCAGTGGACCTTCCTCCGGTTCTGGAGGCCAGAGTCCGGTCAATGTAGGTTACACATTATTCCCCTCACATTTCGGGGTGGGAGGGTAAAATCTGACAGCGCAGCAGGCCATATTCGCACGCTCCCGTCCAAATGATTCAAAAGTTGCTACCGACTTGATAAGATTGACGCAGTTGCTGTGGGAGAACCTGTTCCCACACCTGTCTCCCTTGCACCCTTCCTCTCCGGACCCAGCGGAGGCCAATATCGCCGCGAGACTCTCGATCCTGTACACGTGGTATCGCGCGCAGCCCCGAACCTTCATTCCGGACTCATCGACGTTTGATATCAATAACGATGCGCTTCAGAAAGCCAACATAAGACTCACGCACATCGAATACTTTGGCTCGATAATATTGCTGTCTCGGTTCCCGCTCATCCGTGCCATTGAACGAGGAGATCTCCCACGCGACACGGCTCAATCTCGACGGGAGACTGCAGCTGGCAGTCGCAAGAACGAGCTGGATGACCTGCAGTACGCGGAAGGCTGCATCGACGCAGCCATCAATGCACTTAGTCACGTCCACGCCCTTGTGGCACCGATATCACTGTCCTCTTCCAACACCTCGCCGCTAGCAGTTTTTGTTGATCACGATTCCGACGTTCGAGATGTTCGCTCATGTCGTGCGGTGCTGGGTGTGTTCTTTGCCGCTGCGGTAACCGTGTTGCTGCATCTTTCGCTTCAGCCGGAGGGTTCTGCCGAGCTCCGTCACAACGAGGGCCTCTTGGATAGGGTTTCGCGCATCATCGACGACCTGAGTGCTCTTCCCGAGACACAAGATATGGCCCGCTTCTTCCGTGCCATGCTGAGACCGTTCATCTCTGCTCTAGTAGCACGAATCCATTCCCATCCCCCCCACCACCACCATCCGGAAAACGGATCACTCGGCACCTCCGGAAAACAATTGATCACTGACATCACGATGCTCCTCAAACATCCAACCGTGGGCGTCGAATGGCTACCCTTCAAAGGTTCGTCATGGTCTTGGCGGGATCTCTTGTCCACCCCGGAGCTCGGGCCGGTAGGAGGCAGGATGGTCGGCGATGCGAGAAATTCGACTTCGGAGCGCACGTATAGGGGAGGCGGAGGAGGAAGCAGCCCACCACAGGGACTGGACAAGCGGGCCAGGATAGGCAACGAGGACGCCGCGCCCTCCTCCACCGCGATCCGCTCAACAAAGGAGGCTGTCGAGGAGTGGAATCAGGGACAAGCTCCCGTGAGCAAAGAGCTCGAGGCATTGTTCAAGAATAAAACTTCGGCTACGTAATATCGACCTATGTTTTGGAATCATTCTCTTTTTGTCTTTCACTTTTTCATTATCATTTTTTTTGCCCACACTTTCTTGGCGAACTCGGAGGGGTGTTTCTTTAACGGAGTTTTTTGATATCTGCATTGTTTCTACGTTTTTTCCTGCATTTTCGGGGGGGCTGGGGTGGGGGTGGGAGGGGGCCTTTTTTTTTTCTCGTGGAGATTTTTCCGCTGTGGTTAGAGATGCGGCTTGTCGGTTTTTTTTGTACCTATCTGGTAGCTGTTTGGCATTTTGATTGATACCAGTCGTTTTTGTTTGTATACTCTTACAATTTCTGCCTTTCGTTTTTGGTGTGAATAAGGCGGGGGGATTGGATTTGGGGTTGATGTTTGGTTTGGTTTGGATGGACAGGATAGGACAGATGACTGGCTGACTGGCGAGCTGCTGTGGATATGGATGTTGTGCGGTTCCGGAAGTTGTATCAGTATCATCATCTACCGTATGATGGCATTCTCTAGGTTTAATAGTAATGATTGATGCATCATCGAGGTGGTCTTTTCGGGTGTGAATGGTGTGAATGGTGTCGTGAAGTGAGCGGGTGAACGAGAGAACGTCAATTTATTGTCGCATACGGCCTTAGTGGGCAAGTGGATTTAAAGAGTGATACCTGGTGTCGTAGCAACACGCGTGATAGACCATGAATCTCGCCCCCAGCCTTGTACCTCATCCCTCGTTCCAAGTTCCAACATCACCTTCACACCGCCCATTCATCCGTCAACATTGTTAGCCAGCAATGCTCCCACCACTCGCTATTCTCTCGCTTTTCCTCAGCACCCTCAGCACCCTCAGCACCCTCAGCACCCTCATCACCCTCAGCACCGCCATCACAACCACGAGCACGGCGCCCACGGCGCCCACGCCCGCGCCCATCTTCACCCACCGCACCCCCGCCAACCTGAACAATCTAGGCTACAAACCGCTTCTCCCGCTCCTCCCACCACCACACATCCACCGTCACCGCCACCACCACGCCCTACTCCCCCGCTCAGCACTCCCGCCCGAGCCCGAGCCCGAGCCCGAGCCCGAGCCTGAACCTGAGCTTGAGCCTAAGCCCGAACTCGAACCCGAGCCCGAACCGGAGTGTCCAGCCAATAGCTCCTCCTGCTCTTCCCTGGGCCACGCTGTACGCCCCCCTTCCCCCCCTTCTCCCCACTTCCCCAGTCTGCCCCCCATCCCTTTCCCTCTCCCCCTCCCCACTCCCCCTCCAGCTGCCCCCCTCCCCCCACCCCTCCTGCCCCTCACGCTCCCCCTCCAGCTTCAAGCTAACCCTCCACCCATCCAGGAAATCTGCTGCCCCCCCTCCCACACCTGCACCGCAACCACCCACTCGCTAGCGGGCGTATTCTGCTGCATTGCACCACCCTGCGGCGCCGACTACTCCTCCCACAACGAGGACGGCGCCGGCGGTGAACGACTGTACCTGCAGTGTCCACAAGGAACATACCCCTGCCCCGCCGCCGCAAATGGCGGGTGTTGTCCCTGGGGCTCCAGGTGCGCGGTGAGGGGGTGTGTGCCTGGCGGGGGGCCGTTGGAGGGGGATGGTGGGGGGGAGGGGGGGTATGAGAACTACGTGGTTACAGCGGCCGGGGGAGAGGGGGTGCCGACGGGGGTGCAGGGCGCGCCGATTGGGGCGGATGTGCGGGGAGAGGGGGGAGGGGAGAAGACTGCTGGGGTAGGTAGGGGTGTGCGCGTGGGTAGGGCCGGGTGGGTGGGGTTGCTGGCGGTGGGGGTGTATGTGCTCGTGGTGGGGGTGGTGGTGATGCGCGAGTGAATTCTCGTGATGCGTGTGTTTGGCTTTGCGTTATGAGTAGGCAGACAGGCAGGCTTTGGGGCTTGTGGTGTTTGAGTTATGGACTGGAATTGATATGGTGTTTGCTGTTGAGATGTCTATTCTAGGTATCATACTCTACGTGAACGGAAACAAAAACAGAAACGGGATGATGGTAGGCCATCAAGGAAATCTAGGAATTACAAAATGGTATGTACTCTAACTCTAATGCAGACGACAAGCGCATCTGACCATCGCGGGAGAGAAATAGCAGGCGGGGGCAGGTTGAATACGCTCCAAGGGGGGATGTCTATGTTGAGATTAAACCCGATATGATACGAGAAGAAGAAGCGCTACAGAGAAGTGAATGTGGTATCGCTATGCCGCCGTCCGTCTAGTTTGTCATGACGACCTCCATTTCCGCCTTGAAGCCCTTCTTCCGTTGGCGCTCCTCGTAGCGTTCGCGCTCGTTCAGGATCCGTCGGACAATGACACCCGCGTTGACGTCTGCCCAGCGGTGAGAGCCGACTTCTCGGTAGATGCCGCGCTCCTTGGCCTCCTGGTAGGTGTCCTCCTCGCCCTCCATAAAGGCGGTGGGGCCGTGGTAGACCGCCTCGAGCTCGCCGCCGAACGTCTCGCCGATGGCGTCCAGGAACTCGGCGTCGGGAATGAACGGCGCCTCGAGCACGAGGGCGTCGATGAAGCGGCACTGCAGCACACACATCGCCCGCTCAAACAACGACATGATGGGATAATTAAGCCCCTTCCAGTAGTTGATAACGCGGTCGCTGTGCAGCCCGGCAACGATGTACGGTTCGCTCTCGCCGGCCGCCGTCGCCTCCTTCTTGACCAGGCGCAGGAACTCGATGTGCCCGGGAGTGAAGAGGTCGAAGCCGCCGTCGACGTAGATGATCCTGCGGCCCATGGCGGGCATCAGGCCGTGCACGAGTGTCCGGCAGCTGCGCGGCGCCGTCGGCATGTACTCCAACACGGGGGGACCACGGCCCACGGCGCCAAACTCATCGCTCGCGTAGTTGCGCATCATCTCGAGCATGTCCTCGCCGTCCTTGCCGAGCAGCAGCGCGCCCAAGTCCTTAATGTGGTGCGTCTTGGTGCATAGCAGCATGCGGCCGACGAGATCGGTAGTGCTGATGCCAGGCGTCCGTTTCACGATCCGGAAGCGCCCCGCGCTCTTGACGATGCGGTAGCAGTCCTCGCCCGACGCGTCGGTCGTCACGTCGTCGCCGTGCACTACGAAGCGACACCCGTACAGATCCATCCACGCGGGGTCGGTGACGTAGGGCGCGCCCGGCACAGGAAGGTTCGCCCAGCGGCACGCGGAGACCGCCAGGATCCGCTCCGCCAGCGACATCACCGTCGGCCCCTTGTTCGCTAGGATCTCCTCGTCGCTGTGCGTGCCCACGCATAGGTAGTTTCCGAGACGCTTGGCTTGCAGCATGGCGCCAGCGTGGCCTGTGAGGGGTCATAGTCAGCTCCGAGGTGGGAAAGGGGTGCGGGATCTGGGAAGCTGGGGTTGGTATCTATGTACATACCGTGGTGCGTAAAGTCGAAGCAGCCATCGATCCAGATGCGCTTGTCGTCCATGGGGATGGCCACCTGGGGTGGGTGTTTTGGAAGCTCGTCCGCCATCGTGGAGAGTTTGCGAGCGCGTAAGGTTGAGGTGGGAGGTGGGAGGTGGGAGGTAGGTTTGAAAGCTTGGGTTTTGAGAGCTCGTGTTTGCTGAAGTTTGCGATTAAGGCTAGAAGGCTCCGAAGGTTGTTTGGTTCGTCACGCGATTTTGGGTCGATGAGCGGTGAATTGAGTCGGTGGCGGTGGTGTGGATGTTGGTTTCGAAGATGATGGTGGGTGAAGTTGTTTGCTTGTTAACGGGTTTTGGTGGGGGAAGCGTACACACGCACTTCGGTATGCGTGTTCAATTCGACCTTCGGCCACCATCCTTTAATTCGCCGACGCTATTCCCAGAAGAGACAGCTTCAGGGGCAACACTCTTCACGCTGTCCAGAAGTCTTCATGAAGTTCGGGAGCGATGTTGCCCTACCTATCATGTGCCGTCGTGCCTATGCATGTGTATGTAGATTACACACAAGCACATTCTCCCAACTACCGTACCCCAAAAGAAACGGCGTCCAACTCTCCAACTCTCCAACCACCGTCATCATCATCACCACCACCACCGCGCCGCCTCCATCGCCAACCAACCGACCAACCAACACACTCCATCCCACCCAACCCCCCATTCGCCCATCCCCACCACAACGAGTATCACCACTACTAGCACCCACGCTGCCTTAGCCTCCCCCTCCCGTGCGACGCTCACCTCACTTCCCCCGAACCCCACCACCGCTACTACAACCTCCAACGCCTCTCCTGCATATCCCCCCCGGCCTGGATACTTGCATCAAACCTCCAACATCAGCCCAATTCGGGGTGCGACGGAGAAGTGACGGTGTGGACAAGCGAAATAGATAGCCACCCATCCCACACAGCCATGTTGCCCTCATCAATCTCAAACAGCATGCGCGAGAGGAAGGCTTCCGTCTCCGCTACTCCACACTACATCGCTCAGGGGCTGTCCGTCCATACCGCGCAAACTCCCGACGAAATAACGTCCGCACCCTCGTCCGGCGGCGGAGGCCTAGGAAGCTACTTCAGTCTGTCGCGGCAACCGTCGAGTGGAAGTCGTCCGCTGTCCCGTCGTCCTTCGCTCACCAGCTCCAATTCGGCGCCGTCGACAATATCCGACCTGACGTCGTCCGCCGCCAGCACTTTCTCCCTCAAGTTGTCGCATCCTCGGACGCCGAGCGGCTCGCAAACAAAGATGTTCGCCAGAACAAACACCGGCATGGCGCCGCCGATCCCCACGTCGAGCGGTATGGGCTCGATCCCCGCCGCGCCCACGAGCCCCAACGGACTCTACGTGACGGTGCAGGAGACGTGTACGAAGCGCATTGCGACGCTCGACTACCTGCGGCGCGCCCACGAAGGTCGCGTTTATTTCTTCAATGTGATGCTGACGCCCCGCGCCGATCTGCAAAAACTCGTCTACCCCGACGTCAAGAAGCTACAGAAGAAGGCGACAAACTTCTTCATGCTTGGCAATTCGCTCCCCAGCATCCTCGAGCTCGGCGCGACGAGCCCCCTCGACTACCTGCGCGCTTTCAATGCGCTCCTGCAAGAGTACGAGACACACATCGCGCTGCCGCCCTCGAGACAACTCACCACGCGCGCGCACTCGTCGAGTATATCCCTCGGAAGCGGCAACGGAGGCGGCGGCGGGAATTCAACACTGCGCAGCATGAGCCTTCCCAAATTCTTCCACCGGTCAGGGCACACTGTGAAGCAGCGGCGGGGGAGCTCAGCGGCGAACACGTCGCTGCCGGATCCACTAGGCCTGGAGCGAACGCGGAGCTCGAGCAACTCTTCGATGTCCGGCCCGACCATCTCGGCGCCGACATACCCGGGCGAGGACACGGTACCTCCGCTGCCGATATCGCTCCCCGCCGCGCCCATGGGCGGCATTCCGGGCGAGGAGTACATGTACCTCGCGACGCCCGCGCTCCCGTTCGATCCCGACTACTTCGAAACCTTCGCGACGCTGTGCGACGTCCTCATCGACGTGTACAGCCGCGTGCTCAGCCTGGTCAATGGGCCCAACCTCTGCGGCCCCGGCGTCGGCGAGCTGTTCCTCAAGGCCGACGCGAAGATCCGAAGGATAGTCGTTTCTGGCACCGTGAGGGAGTGGGAGGAGGCGGTGAGGAACGGCGTCAAGCGAGAGGTCGGCGGCGTCGCGAGGGAGGTCCTCGGCGGGATGCTGTAGGACGTAGGGACGGGCCGGGCGTTTGATTTTTTCTTCTTTTTTTTCGGGCATTTATCTCGGTCTTGTGTTGTTTGTGGCTGTGTTTGTGTTTATGCTTGTGTTTGGCGCGATGTTGTATGTACTTTGATACCATGGGATTTTCGGGTTTTCTTATCTTTTGTTTACTTATGCAGACGGGTTCGGGGCGGTCGGTCGGGCGAAGGGTGGGCTAAGGGCGCGCTTTTACATAGAGGGAAATATTTCACGCATCTACATAGACACGGTAAATAGTGGGAGGCAGGTCAGGCACTTAGCTAGGATATGAATCACGATGTTGATGTGAGTTCGCTTCGTGCGTGGTCACTTGGGTACTCGGATAACTGTCGCGCCTCGGGAAGCTGGATGGAGATCGGCTTTTGGGGAGAACTGTTTGGCGAGCTAATGCTGGAGGGTAGATATGCGGAAAAAGGTTCGCAAATGCCACGGCGATGGGTCGTGAGGTGAGGCTAGAGTGAGCGGCTGTGATGCGCTCCCGGCAAGAGGAAAATACGCTTCAATGGGTTCTGCAGATATACTTGAGGTTATTAACAGCCATTGAGGTACAGCCAACATGTATATTCCAAGAATACAGAAGTCCTAGGACATGCTAGTACTACCACCACTACATCTTTTACCATCCCCTCGGACTACCTTTACAATTCCTATCAAAACCCACCACCGGCCTTCGGAAATGCCGGTGGGTTGTGGCCATCCCAATCAACCCGCTCTCCCCACCAACCCCAATCGGAAGTGAAAGTCATCACAAGGATTTTAAAAAGCTTTAGAAGGATTTAGAGCCGGATTTTATCATGGGTAGCCAGTGTTCCCAAAAACCCGCACAACAGCCGGGCGGCCGCCGCTTAGGCTTGCCGGTCTGAGCAGCCTTCCGGCGGGCTACATGGTTGGAGCAGTCCAAGCATCTCCAGAATACCTACTGTCACTGCCTACATAGGTAGCAGTCGGGCTAAAGCTGAGGGCTGTTGGGAGCGTGTGCGCTTCACTTCCCACGGTCCACTTACACCTCTCGAAAATTGGAAATCGTCGATAATTAAGCTTAATCGCTCGCCTCCTCAGCTAGGTACGTATATTACTCGGCTCTCCGACTCGAAGACGCCGCAATCGCTAGATCACAGTTACACTTACTAAAGCTTTGTCAGAACAGAAAAGCGGCGTCGACCGGACGGACAGGACAGGGCCACGAAATTGACCGGATTTCGGTGGTGATGGACTCTGCTCTCCTGTAAGAACTGGCCGGACAATATCTACCCACCATACGGTATGCACGCAACGCCATTGCACCGAGAGTAAAATTCTATATATCTCCTTCCAGCAACTCCTAACCACCGGTACCTACTTTCTATGTGTTTATTATAGCAAGATCAACGCCTACAACCTCCTGCAAGCATCTCAACGGCCGGGGAGATATGTACCCCGCAGGCGCAAATCCACTCCATGTACTCTATTCTAAATCCACGGTTATCTTGCAGCCCCCCATTTCCGGCTAGGGTCCAAATTTGCGGGGCGCACCGCCAGGTCCGCAGGCCGTTGAATCGAACGGGTGGAACCGATGCCGTATGCAGTTAATTCCCGTGGGCAAGGATTTTGTGGCGGGGCATTGCGCGACGTCGATTGGGGAAGTTTGGCGGAGTTTCGTTTGAAGGGGTGGGGCGCGGTCGTGGCCCGTGAGGCAGGCGACATGTGTGGAGGGCGCCTAAATAAGATCCGACGATCAGGAAGTATCATTCCGCACCGTCGGAGTTTGGAAGCGCCTGGACTCCCTGAGGGCAGCTATATACCGGCAGTACTAGAGTATACGTACTCCTATATACCAATTTCCATACGGACGAAGGATGTGCATGCTCCATTCCCCGAGCAATCCAGTCGCACATTCAGGATTCCGGCAATCGGAGGAGGAGCTCGAGGCCGGGCCAAGGCAGGTACTCTACGGTGGCGACCGTTTCACACTTGCACACTCGGCTGCTCCCCACCAACGTTTATTGGAGGCCAATACAATCCGGCAATGTCCTACGATGGGGTTCGCCACTCTACTCTCTAACCGTCGCAATCAATGCGGTCTCGTGGACTGGGTATGTAGGTAATACCATGCTCGAGTGAATGCACGACACCTATAAAGCTCTGCAGTCCGGTGCCTGGACTAGGTGTACACAGCGGTATCGATTCGACGATGAAGCTTTCCACACCCCTCTGCACGCTCCTTTTCTTGGCCTCGGCTGCCCTCGCGACCGTTATCCCACGGGACCCGAACGAGCCGGTCTCGTACGACGGCGTTCGGGTGGTGCGTGTGCAGGTCGACGACACGGAGGCGCAGGCCAAGAAGGTCGAGAAGTTGATTGACAGCCTGGGACTGGAGTCGTGGACGCACGGGTTCAAGGTCAAGCAGCAGGTCGATGTTCAGGTCGAGCCAGAGAAGTTCGATGCATTTCAGAAGGGCCTCGGCGGGATCCTGTACACGATGATGCATGAGGACCTCGGCGCAGCGATTAGGAATGAGAGTGAGAGCTCGATGCGGGTGGGGAGTTTCGATGGTATGTTATATCTGTGTCACGTTTCAGGATGCGTGGCTTTCCGGGGAGGGTATATATGTGAATGCAGTGGCTGACTACATAGCAACAGTCGGCACTCAGGCGGACCTGTCCTGGTTCGACAGCTACCACTCCTACGCCGACCACCTCTCGTACTACTCCCAGCTGGTGGCGCAGTACCCCAAGAATGCAAAGCTCGTGACTGCGGGTACATCATACGAAGGACGTCCGATCACTGGCCTTCACATCTTCGGCTCAAGCGGCGGAGGATCGAAGCCGGCGGTAATCTTGCACGGAACTGTGCATGCCCGTGAATGGATCACCACCGTAAGCCAGCTGCTTATACCCAGCAGCATACCAGGACTGACAAGAGTACCGTTCCATAGATGGTGACCGAGTTCATTGCGTACTCCCTGCTGAGCAACTACGACAACTCCACCCAGATCAAGAGCTTTGTCGATAAATACGACTACTACATCTTCCCGGTAGTCAACCCCGATGGTATGTCTCCCGCGCCCCATCACATCCATCACTCGGCACTGACCCCGCAGGCTTCGTTTTCACGCAAACATCGACGCGCCTCTGGCGCAAGAACCGAATGCCCAGCTCTGGCAGCGCCTGCATCGGCACGGACATAAACCGCAACTGGGACTCGCACTGGGCCGTGTCCGGCGGCGCCTCGACCAACCCGTGCGCCGAAAATTACCGCGGAGCTTCCGCGGGCTCCAGCCCCGAATTCAAGGCCCTCGCCGCTTTCCAGAACCGCATGATGGCGCGCCAGGGCGTAAAGTTCTACATGGATATTCACGCCTACAGCCAGCTGTGGATGTCGCGTCCGTCCCCTCCTCCCCGTCCCCCCCTCTCTCCGCCCAGCTACCTAACCCAACTGTGCAGCCTACGGCTACACCTGCGACGTCCTGCCGACGGTGAACACAGAGCTGCAGAGCCTAGCCAAAGGCGCGGTGGGCGCTCTCAAGGCCGTGTACGGAACGACGTACAAATACGGGCCCATCTGCAATACCATCTATCCCGCCACAGGGTCGTCAGTCGATTACTCGTACGATGTTAGTGGCATCAAGTATTCGTACACCGCTGAGATGAGGGATACCGGCAGCTATGGGTTCTTGTTGCCCGCAGATCAGATTTATCCGTCCGGGAATGGTGAGTTGTCGAATGGGCGGGGCAGAGTGAGAGTGGGAGGTGTGATGCTGACGAAAAGTAGAATTCTGGGCTGCGATTAAGTATATGTTGCAGAACATGGTTTAGACGGATGCTAGGGCCTAGGAGTAGAAAGAGACGGTGGATGTTTTTATGACGGTTATGTATATGCGTTACATGGTCTCTGATAGATAGGTACCTAGACGGGGCAAGATGAGCTTTGTAGAAATATCGAATAGAGATACCATCCGAAGAATACCGAACCCATGGTACTCTATGTACTCGTACCGCCACTACAGCTATTCGTGTCGATATCAGACATCGCGGAAGATTGCTCCGATAGGTAGGTACCATCGAGGAGTCCACGCCGATCTTGGCAGGTTCAAACTTGGCACTGGATTGTGGAGTTCCTTGTATGCATTAGGGCAAGATGGATATGTATTTACCTGGAGACAGAGACAGAGACTGAGGCGGAAGAATCGGGGAATGCATGACGCCGTACATAAGCCACGCTTCCTCGTTGGCCCTTGGGTGCTACCACTGTATGTACATACCGATGTATTTTCTACACAGAATGCATAATTAACCAAGTACTCATCCCCGACTCAAAGGGACATACATGTGTATATACATATAGGAACATCCCACCCAACACATCCCATCCCTCGCCCATGCATAATCACCCTCAAATACCTCTTCCTCACTCCTCCCCCCTCCCCCCCACCCACAACTCCCCGCCTTCCCCGCCATTCCCATCCGCCACACCCCCAATTCCATCCCCGCCTTCCCCCACCCCATCCGGCGCCGCCAACTCCTTACCCTCCATCCCGCTTATCCCCTCCTCATCAACCGTCCCCACCAGCACCTCAATCTCCCCCTGTCTCTCCGCGGACATACACCTTCTTGTCAGCGAGCTCCCGCAGGCTTCACAGAACCCGCGCAGCTTCTGGGGCGACGAGGCGAATTCGCGAAAGGTGCTGCTGCTGCTGGTGGGTGATGGGGGGGATAGGGGCGCTGGGGTGTGCGGAAGGATGTGCGGGAGGGTGTGCCAGTGTATGTGAGCAGGTGGGATCGTCAGGAGGTGTGCCATCAGCCCGCCGGTGGTGCGCCGGCATTGCGCGCATGAGCAGGTGCTCCGCTAGAGAGGTGGGGGGATTAGGAGGTGGATGAAGGGGGGGAAAGGGAAGGGGGAGGGGAGGGGACGTACGGGAGGGGGATACACGCTCCCCGGCGGGAAGGTTATGGTGTAGCGGATGGAGCCGCAGAGGCAGCCGCCTGTGAGTGGGGGGTGGACTGAGGAGGGCATTGGTGGGTACGAGGCGATAGAGGTCTGGCCACTGGCCTGCTGGGCTGGCGGGTATTTATATGCCCCACGCGGGTGATGATGGAACTTGGGATAGAAGCGGATATAGGTATACGAGGTCCTGCAGATCATCCGCTGTGACTCACTCGGAGATATTATGGGGCTTCTTCGCAGAAGCCCGGGATGAGTGTTGATGTAGAATGGAAAGCTATTGAGGTTGCGGCTAAATCAAAGTCCTCGTTCAATGGCCCCTTTCAGGTACCCGGTAATGTCGATGTCGATGTCGACATATGGCCTGAAGAGTGTCATCGGTTCGAGATCTATGCATGCGATGTCACTCGATATCTTGAGTTTTTGCGTCGCAGGACAGTCTTCGTTCGATCTCTTCCAAAGGTATGTAGCTAAGACTTGGCCCAAGTATGTACAGTCTCTACCGCTCTCACCCCACATCCCGTAAATCCATCAATCCTGCAGTGCACCCAGCTTCAATCCTGACTCCTGAGGCGAAGGGATTGTAATTTGTGCCGGGGGCCGTGGACGCACCCACAGACCTTTGATTGATCGATTGTCCACATCGCGTATTGCTTCTGGAGTATCACAGTCGCACGCCAACTCTGGTGGCTGTGAGTGTGATTGTGCTGTGCGCGGCTGGCAAGTGCTTGAGATTCTGGTATGTACCGCCTGGATGAACGTCGACCGCGGGGAGGCATGTAGTGGGTTTTACCCCGTCCCCAGTACTAGTAGCCTTACTCCGACCAGGGCGGATGAGCTTGGAGGAGCCGAGATCGCGAGCACGCACAGAGATGACAGCGAAGCTCTGGATTCTGTGCTGAGACTCGATCACACAGTGGGTAACTACTGGGGATAAAATTGTAACCAATAACGGAGTGTTCCCGATACTGTATGGGGACGAATATTCTGGAGTCTAGAAGTGCCATCCGCCGTAGAATTTCTCCCCTCATCCAATATCATACCGTACTCTACACTTCCTCATGTTCTCGCGAATCCCCACCTGCAGCGACAGCGGGGCAAGGATACCACATAGCATAGCACGTGCCAATCCGGCCTGTCAGCCCGTCATGAGACCCGACCACACAGCGAATGCGAAGGAAACAAAGTGCACGCACGCAGTTGACTGCATACCGTATCGTATCGCTGTATGCGCTCCCATTTCTGCGCTGCTGCTGCTGCTGCGGCCGTGACTCGAGTTCTCACTGCTCAGGAGTTGCCTAGATATGTGTTTCTAGAGCGAGGAGTCGAGGGCCGCCAATAATCGGCGTCCGCGTAGCAAACGGATCGTTGAGAGGTGAGGGGCTTGCAGCCCTTTGGTATAGATTTTCTTTGCGTGTTCGCGAACGACAGCCGGCCTGGGGGTTTTTCTTTTGGGAGATCGCGGCGGGCTTGCGGAATCTGTGGAAGCTGTGGAAGATGGCAGTGCAAGAGGCTGGTCTCGAGCCCACAGTCCTGTGGACGTTTTCCGACTGTTGGGCCTCGGTCCGCCGGCCGAGCGTGCCTCTACGGGCCGACTATACTAGTAAGCAGCTCCCCTGGGTACCTTGGTACTCCACAGCGACCGTGCCTTCCGATGCAGAGCGATCGTCATGGGGGATCATCACGTCCTTCTTTCCCTTCTTCTCCAGGGTAATAAGTGCCATACCAACCTACCTACATGGGCCACCAAGTATCTACATGGGGCCTCCTCCCACCTCCGCCCTCCAAACCTGCTCTGCTCTCCGCAGCCCAAGCTGAAGTCTTTCGTCACATTAACCGTCCGCACTTCCGCCCGTCGTTTTTGTTGGAGGATTCTCGAATGCTGTGGCAGTGTCCCCGCACGATGACGCAGCGCGCCGCATGTACGGGAGCATCATCGACAGGGATCGTGGCCGGATCCGCGCCGTGCTGACAAGACTTGGAAACGGAAACACAAACGTCACCAGATGCAGCCAGACAGCCAGGCAGGCAGCACCTGCGAAACCCGTCCGCCTCGTCAAGATGCTCGGTCTGGTGGAGGTACACTGCCCTCGGGATATTGGTCAGTAGGAGGCCGTCCTGCCCCTTATCCACCCCCCGCTCGCCCTCATATCTTGTGTTTCCTCCTTCACATCATCCTACTCCCGGCCCCAGTTATCAGCGTCGACTGCAACATCAACAACACTGCTATCCTCACCATCTCCTCCATCTCCTCCACCGCCACAACTACCACAGCTATATAAATATCTGACCGAACGAAGATCGCTATTACATATCGCACATCTTCACACGAACACTAGACCGCAACACATCCAACACTTTCAACTCCCACAACTCCCGCAAACATGCCGGTAGTTCTCGACGACGAGATGCTCATTCCCCCCTCGATGCGCCGCCCAAAGCACTACATCGAGCGCGAGCGCCTAATCGAAATCTCGAGCAACCAGTCCTCATCCGTAATCGACCTGCCCCCACATCGTGTAGAATACGAGCGGCCACGGTCCCCGCTGGTAATCCACCAAGACCACATCATCCAGCTTCCTCCGCAGGAGGTAGAGCTCATCCGCGAACGGGAATACGTGATAGAGCCGGCGGGCGGTATGCAGCATGGCGGCGTTAGGCGGTATTATCGCCGCAGCGGCGGACACAGCGAGATGGCTTTCGAGCGGGAGAGAGAGCGGAGGGGCAGGGCGAGGAGCGTGGGGTATGACGACTACGACTACGATTCGTATTGCTCGTCGTGTGATGGGGAGGAATATTACCACGAGGATGGATCTGCATATGGATCGAGACGTGGCGGTATGGCCGGGCGTGTGGTGGGTGCCGGATCTCTGGTCGCCGGTCAGCGAAGGAGGGTGCGCCGGTCACCTGGGCCGATGTACCAAGGTCATCCCGAGTCACACGCCGGATCGCACGTCGGATCACATGCGGGCTCGTCACACTCATCACACCCTGTCCGACACATCGTTGAAGGCGGAGCCGTAGCTCTCGGAGCACAACAGCTCTACCGCCGTCATCGTCGCTCGGGATCGGCCTCATCCTCGGACAGTGAAAGCCGTGCCAGCCGGGGAGGACACCACCGTATCCGCCGGGTTGCTGAGGCCGGCGCTGGAACGATAGGTGCCCAGAGATTGTACGAGCACCACCGGGAGCACCAACAAGAACATATGCGACATCCCGGACACCCCGGACACCCAGACGACGACCCCAACCGTCGTGTTCGTCACCTTGCCCAAGCCGGTCTGGGAATCGCCGCTGCGGGGGCTGCAAAGGAACTTTACGACCACCGCAGACGACGGGCCCGCTCTCGTTCGGCGAGCTCATCCGACGGCGAGGGTGGTGCTAGATCACACATGGGCCGCCACGTCGCCGCAGCGGCACTTGGCGCCACGGCCGCAGGACTAACAGCACACAAGTACGCTGAGCGTCGCCGCCGCGGATCCGTCTCTTCCGATTATGACTCGGACGATGGACGTAGCACGCACCGCGGGCGTAAAGTCGCTGCCGGAGTGGGTGCCGCCACGGCCGCCGGCATCGCAGCCAAAGTGATACACGACCGCCGCCGCCGCGGCTCGCGCTCCCGCTCTTCATCGGCCTCCTCCACAACTTCAGCCGGCGGCCACCACCGGGTGCGTAACGCGGCCATGGGCCTCGGCGCAGCAGCGCACAGAGCCCGCTCCCAATCTCGCCCGGGAATCCTCCGTCGCCGCCGCTCCTCATCCACCTCCTCTACTTCCTCCACCGAAAGCAGTTCCCACAAGCTCCGCAACGCAGCTCTTGGCGCCGGCGCAGTTGCCGGCGTTGCAGCTGCAGCTCACCGCGCGAAGCAGCACCGCGAGCGTTCCCAGTCTCGTCCCGGGATCCTCCGTCGCCGCAGCAGAACACAGTCTCCGCCACGACAGCGATCGACGTCTCGTGGCGCGGCGCTCGCAAAAGCCGCCGCAGTGACCGTGGCCGGCGCCCTGGCCGAGCGGCAGCACCAAAAACGCAAGGAGGAGCGGCGCGCACGGTCAGCCGACGGCGCAAACCGCCGGCGCCATCGCCGCGAGCAGGGCGAACATCGCCCCCATCGCGAGCGTAGACACCACGACGATGAGTCGAGTGTGCGCTCTGGCTCCAGCGCGACGGGTACCCGCAGCAGACGCGGCAGTGGCGTCGGCGGCATGTTGCGCCAAGCTATCTCCGGTGGCGGACCCTCGAATGATCGTCGCGAGGGCGGAGGCGATTATAGGAATGTTGTCGCGCAGGAGGTGGCGTATAGAGTTGGCGAGGCCGCGGCGGAGGGGCTCAGGAGGGCGTCGTCCAGGCCTAGGCAGTAGATTTGATGTGGTTTACGATTTTTCTTATACCACCATGGTGGAGGCGATAATGTTGGGTCTCGCTAAATATTGATGTTTACTTTACTTTTCTTTTCTTTTCTTTGTGGATGCGGGGCATTTGAGGATGTTTTTTTCTTCTTTGATTGATTGATATATCCATACTACTCTACTTGGTACGATGATGTTTGTAACGGCTTACGATGGGAATAAATCGTTGTGCTTTTTTGTTACTGAAGAGGATTGGTCGTGGTGGTCGTGGTCGTGATCGTGATCGTGGTCTTGTCTGATCATACTCGTATTCAGTCTATCTTAGACTGTAGCAGTCCGTTCATACACAGTTCGGATCACTTGCTCATTGTGGAAACACTGACTCCCCCACACTCCCCGACTATGTAGGCGTGACCGGGCAGGGAAAGCCACATCGGGCCGCCTGACGAAAGTTGGGTTGGCCAAGTAAGGGTCCTCAAGGTGTTGTTCGAGGAGCAGTTGTTGGACTTTAGCGTGCCCAAGCGGAGACGGAGGTGTGGGGGAAATGCGGTGTGATTTGCTTACCTCGACTCCTCGAGTGCCGTGATAGGAATAGAGCAAAAATGAAGCTCTATAGGTCCATGAGCCGTTGCTACCTATATAATATGAGAAGCTTCTGAATTCCGAACACTGCACCAAAGCACCAACATCATGCCTCGCGTGTCACGGAAAAAACAAGTCCTCCGAGCGCTCGACGCGTCTATCCGCAGAACCCGGATTTTCAACTCAATCTTCAACGACAGCGAAGATACAGCCGACGATTTCGCCGAAGATCTAGCCGCCATCCGTGACAGAATACAGCAGAAGCGGTATTGGGCACCACGGAACAACCTGCAGATCCCGCCGGCGAACGCTGTGCATCGGTGGTTTGATGCGCTCTACGGGAGCGACGACAGTGCGAAATTCCGAATGATGTTTCGTATGATGCCGGAGCAGTTTAGAGGCCTGTGTGGTCTCGTGGAAAATCATGAGGTGTTCAAGAACGGGTTGCAGCATCCACAGCTGCACCCGCGGTACCAGCTGGCGATCTTTCTGTACTACCTGGGCCGCCCCGGAGGTGCAAGTTACGAGGATTCCAGTGCCGCACTGGGTGTGGGAGAGGGCACGATCTCGCTCTATAGCAACCGTGTGCTCGAGGCGCTGCGGTCGTTGACGGCGACGTTCATCAAATGGCCGAATGAAGAGGAACGGAAGGCTACCAGCAGCCGGATCGGCGAGAAATCTCTCGGGATCTTTGAGCATGCTGTCGGCTTCATCGACAGTACCCACATCGTCTTGAAATATCCGCCGCAGCATGGGGCCTATGATTATTTCAACCACACGAAGCACACCAAGTATGCGTTGCATGCGACCGTTATCTGCGACGATACCCGGCGGATCATCTGGCTGCGGACCGGAGACACCGGCGACACCACCAGTGCTGCTGTCCATGACGACGCTGCCGCACGTGTCTTCTCGCACACGGCGATATGCGCCGAGCCAGCGCGGTTTTTCAGACGCGGAATACCTCATCGGCGACGTTGGCCATGTGGCAACGTCGCACATGATACCGCCGTTCCCTCCACCCCGAGCGAACCTTCCAGACGAGACGCAGTTCAACACCAGCTTGAGTTTACAACGGGCCGTGTCGATACAACACACGTTCGCGCAGTTGAAAGCGCGGTTTCCGTTTCTCACCTCCGTCAGCATCCGCGTTCAGGACGACGAAAACAACCGGAAGGTCGCGCTGTGGTTCCTCGTTGCTTGCATAGTACATAACTACCTGCGAGATACGCAGGAGGAGGAGTGGACTCTTGATGAAGATGTAAGGAGAGCGAGCGAGCAAGAGGCGGGGATTCGGGCGGATAGATAGAGAACGGCGAGTGAGGGAACGCGGCGACCCCGACCGCGACCGAGAAGGTACATTCCACCCTGCTGATGCACTGCACAGCGGGAATGATGCGACACGGGAACAGCTATTGGAACGGTTTAAAAGGCTACATCGGTAGATAGCACTACCTACCTGTCGGGAGGGAGTGATCCCTCAGAGTCTAACACACAGCACCTCTCTATCAAAACCCACCGTCCCTCAGCCAACCAGTCAGCAGAATCTCCCGATAGCCTACGCGAACCCACCTTCCAAGTTCCAACTACTTCTGCCCCCCCATCTTCTCTTCTCTTCTATGTATAGTAATTTCCGCATGCGCAATGCGATGCAAATTCCTATTTTTGGCATTCGCATCTCTTCTTTTTTTTCCAGTCTTGTTTCCTTTCTGCTGTCCTCCCGTTCCTCCTCCTTCAAATCTGCTCCTTGTTTCTGGTCGGTTCTCCTCCGGCTTCCAGCATTCCTTCTCGATATCTTCTCCGTCCTTCTGCTTCGTGTACTCATGCTTCTGCTTCGTGTAGGTATTCATGTAAGCATGCTTCTCCTTCGATTGCAATAGGTAGCCTCTGTTGTCCGATCTCCTCTGTAATCGCTGGGCGGGAAAACGGGGGAGTGAACGGGTAGATATTGGCATGATCTAGATACCTAGGTTGCATGCGACCTACATATCTAGATCATGGCAATATGATCGTAATGTTACTATCGGTCCAATGTATACAAGTAGTACTGACAATGCTACGAGTGATAAGATTGTAAAACATAATCGCCTCGCCTCGCGACGAGTGACAATGTTGGCACCAATTTGCTACATACAAAGCTTTTCTACATACGGGATATCACTCTCCTCACTCCATCTATATTCATCTCACTACCTACTTACTTATACCAGCCCAATGTACTGACAAAGCCCAGCGAGTGATGAGATTGTGAAACTGAAATATAATCGCCTCGCGACGAGTGACAATGTTGGTACCAATTTGCTACCAGACTTTTCTACATACATACGGGATATCATTCCCCACTGCATCTACCTCTATAAGCATATCACTGCCTATACGGGTCCAATGCACGAACAATGTCCTGCGAGTGATGAAACGGTGAAATATAATCGCCTTCCAACGAGTGACAATGTTGGTACCAATTTGCTACAAAACTTTTCTACATACAGGATATCATTTTCCTCTCCCTATCTAAGTATCTATAAGCACCCCACGGACACGATCCCCACCCCCTCAAAGCTTCGCCCTCAACCCCCACAGCCCCTCCCCCTCCTCATCCACATCCATCTCCCTAACCAGCAAGCCTGCATTAACATGTCTCCTCCCGACCTCATGGACACTATTAACGCCCAGCAGCCTGAGGGCAGTAGTGACCTCCTCCTCGAGAATCTTTATCACCCTCTCGACGCCCTGTTCCCCATACCCAGCCAGCCCAAAAAGCGCCGGCCTCCCAATCCCCACCGCCCTAGCACCCAGTGCCAGCGCCTTCACCACATCAGTCCCGCGCCTAATCCCGCCATCGATATAAACCTCGAGCAACCCCAGCACCTGGGGCGCATGCCTCCTAATCTCCAATAGCGTCAGCAGCGGCGGCGGGGCGGTATCGGCGGCGCGACCCCCATGATTCGACAGGATAATCCCGCGCACGCCCAGCGCGCGCGCAGCCGGCGCACACGCCAGCAGCGCGTCCTCGTGCGTCTGCACACCCTTGAGGATGATGGGGAGGTGCGTGTGCTTGCGGAGCCACTCGAGGTCGGTCCAGGTGAGCGACGGCTCCGTGCCGGCGAACAGTGCGCGGCCTAGGCCTTCGCCCTGCGAGGGCGTGGGGCCGGCGATTCCGCGCCCGGACGCGGCGGAGGTAGCGGCTGCAACGTTCGCGACCCGCTCGTCGGCTTCGCGCTTCCCCGGCGTCGGCGCGTCGAGCGTGAGCACGATTGCGGTGTAGCCGCTGGTGGGAGCGGAGATCCGTGCGAGCAGCCGCTCGCTGATGGTGCGGTCGGTCTGCACGTAGAGTTGGAACCAGAGTGGCGCGGTGGCGGCGGCGCTGATCTGTTCCGGTCGCAGAGACGCGTTGTTGCTTACGCACTGGATCACCCCGGCGCGGCCTGCGGCCGCGGCGATGCCCGCTTCGCCGGAGGGATGCGCGAGACGCGCGAGGGCGGCGGGCGAGATGAACACCGGGAGGCGCACGGGCGTGCCCAGGAGGGTCGTGGATAGGTCCACGGACAGCACGTCGCGGAAGATCCGCGGGCGCAGGAGCACGGAGCGGAAGACGCGGTTGTTGTGCGCCTTGGTGTATTCGTCGTCCGCGGCGGAGGAGTAGTAGGCCCACGCCTTTGGGGAGAGGACGCTCTTTGCGCTCTTCTCGAAGTCGGCGAGCGAGAGCTGCGTGTGCAGTGGCGGCAGAGGGACTTGTTCCGCCGCTTGCTGCGATGTGGTTGTTGTCGAGGGCGTGGACACCGGAATGGTGGAGGCGTCGACCGGCCCTAAGATCTGGCTGGCGAACAGCGTCTCCTCGAGTGTCCCGGGCGGGTGGATCGGATCGTATTCGGCGGTCGCGTCGCGCCCGGCGTACCGCAGGATGATGTTTGCGCCACCCGGGTGCGAGTCGAGGAACGACGTTACATCGTAAACTTGGTTGTGGATTATCACCCAGCAGGAGGCGCGGGTGTTGTGTTTTGCAACTATCACGATCAGCGCCTGTCAACACTCGACGTGTGTAGAGTGCCCACCTTCATTGTAATCGATTCCGGTCGTCATTTTTGCGGGTGAGGACAGTGGTGAAGCACGAGGGGACTGGAGATGGTTGAGGACATGATGGCAGATTCGATTCGATGTTGACACGGCACTCAGTGGAGAGGCTTGGTCGGCAACTCGCTATCTCGGTGTAAATTGAGGGAACCTCTAAGCAGACCTATGTTCTAACCACGTAGCTGGAAGTCCTTGTCCCTGTTTACATATAGAGCACTCTAAATTGACTCTGGAGTCAAGGTGGGTCTCGCTTAGGAAAGGATTGCCGTCTTCGACTCCGGCAGTCTCGGCGATAACGATAAGCCGAGCGCGACCTACGTTACGGCCAATGGGGTTGACGGCTTTACACACCGTCCTGTCAGCTCGATTTTGTCAGCCTGAAGTAAGACGGCGGGGTGGAGGTCTCCATACCTTCTTCATCACCGCTCACTCGGCTGCTTTTTACTCAGACCTGGTCTGTACTTATGCATAAGTAAGCGGAGACAACCAGCAACCAGTAAACGGCCACGAGCGGCTGTGGATTGTCCGGGGCCTACATACCATGCATACTGATTACGGGAGACAAGCTGAAAGATTTTCGATTCCAGATATGTAGAGTACGTGTGTTTGCACATCTATATTTGCACCTGTTTCCCGAGAATACCTTTACTACTCTACACGCTCCGAGTCTCGTGGCCTCCCCCTGCCCTGTGTGGTATGTGCACTGTTATTGTGACCGCTGGTTTGCAAGGTGCAGCCCAAACAATGTGCACTGCTGGTCGGCCTGTCACTTGTCACTTGTCAAGCAAGTTTGGCCGTTGACGGTTGAAAACGAGGGATGATGATGGACTTGGACGTGTAATTTGTAAACGATCGCGAAACTGACGCGGAGAAATGTATTCGAAACACTGCCAAGTGCTGTCTATTTCCGGCCTGGAATCCTGCATGCCATGCCACACGGAATCTGGATTCATCATTCCATACGACGTATTGTACTCGTACACTACCAACTCACTGTCTGCCTATTGCCTACATACCGTACCGTATCGTCAGATTTCCTGGGTCGAGGTCGGACACCTCCACCAGTACCACCGCCAACCTTCTCTCGACCGCGCCACATACGCACGAAATGTTGGCAGCACAATTGAAGATCCCACCATTCACATCCTCCGTTCGGCTGTGGGGGCTGTAGCCTGTCTCACCCATGCCACTGTCACCGGTGACTGCGCTACTACACAACTAACTACCTACTGGCGGAGTTATTTCGGTCGAGAAACAGCCCTACACAGTAACACAGGCTAGGTACCATGCGGACGAACCCCTCACTGCACTACACTGCAACTCAGGCAGGCAGGCAGGCAGGCAGGCAGGCGGGCGGGCAGTCAATCGGTGTTTTTTCTTCCGCTGCGCATGCGTACAGACTGTACACACATACATGACATTCACAGCCCCACGAACGAGAATGAGAACTTGTCACTTGGCACTGGGCAGCCGCGCAAGCTCCAGCAGCACAGCTGGGGAACGGAATGGCTTGGGAGGTATGTTCCGTTACGCGGCCGAATGACGGGATTTTGGTGGAGGAGGAGGGGTGGAGGGGTGCGAGGGATAGAATGGGATATATATCGGAAGCACTTCTATGTGGTGTCTTTCTTTGTTCTGCCTGCCTACCTACCCACCCACCTCATGCCGGGAGACAGTTCGTTGCTTGACTGACTGATTGGATTTGATTTCACCCGTTCCCGTCCCCGTCCCCGTCCCCGTCCTTGTCCCCGTCCCCGTCCTTGTCCTCATCCCAGTACCGTGCTTCGTTACCACACACCGAGACACCTCGTTACCACACACGATGCATTCCCTCCTTTCGCTCCTGAGCATCCTCTTCGCAGCTTCGCTCCTTTCCCTCGCACTCGGGCACGGGTCCGCGCTCTCCGCCGAGGCGCTACACAAGCGCTCGGAAGCGCACCTGCTCGCGCGGCGCGCATTCGGCAGCTGCCAGTCGTCGCTCGCGAAGCGCTCTTTGGACTCTGGCCAGGAACGCCGCGACGAGTTCGTGCGCAGGTTTCAGGGCCAGAGCCATCCCAAGGAACGACGACAGAATGCGGCTACCCCAACGCAGAAGAATATCGCTACCGGAACTAATACCGCCTCGCCGTTCTCTGGAATTCCGACTTGTGTGCTCACGCCCGAGAGTATGCAGGGGCCTTATTGTATGTTCTTTTCCTTTTCATTCTGCTCCGAGATCTGTGAGAGAGGAGAGCGAGGACTGATGTAAATACCAGACCTCCCCGGCGAGCTCATCCGGCCGGACATGCGCGAGCAGCAGGCGGGCGTCCCGCTGCTCCTCGACGTGCAGGTGTTCGACGCAAACTCGTGCAATGTGCTGCCGAACGTGATGATCGACTTCTGGCACTCGAATGCTACGGGCGTGTACAGCGGGTACTCTGTCGAGAACACTGAGGGCGAGACGTGGTTGCGTGGCCTGGCCGAGACGAACGACGAGGGCGTCGCGCAGATCATGACGATATTTCCGGGGCATTACGATGGTTGGTTTCCGGCTTTTTGGTGGTTGGGGTTGGGGATGGAATAGGTGCTGATAGATAGACAGGCCGCGCTATCCACATCCACATAATGGCGCACATCGGCGGTTCGGTCCGCACGGACGGGAACAAGCGCACATACGTCGGCGGGACGAACCCTATGGTCGGGCAGCTATACTTCGACATGGACCTCGTGAACGAAGTTGAGGCTGTCGCACCCTACACGTCCAACACTGTACGGTTGATCAACAACAACAACGACCGGATATTTCGGACGGCGAGCACAGCGGTGGCGGGTTACGACGGGCTGATGGACGTGCGCAAGCTGGGCTCCAGCGTCAACGACGGGATCATTGCGTGGATCAGCGTCGGCATCGATCGCGGCAGGAACCACAACACGGGGTTTTCGGATACGGGAACGGACACCGGCACTGGCACCGGCACTACTGCGAGTGGCAGGACGACGGTTAGTACTCCGGCGACGGCGACGACGGCCTCCGCAAGATCCGGCGCTGATAGATCGCAGGGCGTGGGAAGTACCGTGTTTGCGGGGAAGATTGTCGCCTGGGGAATGGGCGCCGTGGTGGCTGCTGTTGTGCTGTTCGGATGATCGGCTGAGGGGCTCGGGTTTCAATGGAGTTGGGGAGTTCAATCAATACTTACCTATGGGGGAGGGGTTCTGTTTACTGCTGTTTCTGTTTTACAATTTCTGTTTACTGCAAGTTTTCTGAATACCCAGATCGTCGAGAATGATGCCTTGAAGCACTCTACCTAGAGTCTACAGTAGAATGTGCACCTCCGGTGAAAATGCAGGCTGGCCGTTGACTACCTAGATACCATTATTTGACCACTCGGCAACTCGGCGGCAAACGATCGATGACATCGGTGTAAGCTGAGCATACTATCGTCTCAGCCTCACCGAAAAAAGCCCAGCTGAGGGCTGATGTGCAGGCAGCGTTGTGGACGTGGATATGTAACCACCCCTGCACCCTGCACCCACATCCAGTGTTCACGCCTCATATCATATTATTTTTCTCGCACGACGTGAGCCCCACCATCCACTCCCACAGACCCGCAACTTCAGACTCCCGACTTCAGAGGAAATACGCGAGTGATATTTGATACACATGAGTTTTTTGTGTTTGTATCGTCTATGTAACTCACTCGCCGAAGTAGAGTAGGTATGAAACGGAAAAAAGGCCCCAGTATGTACAGTCACAGCCAAAGCAACGCCAATAAGAACGAACGAACGCCAACCCAACCCAACCCAACCCAACCCAAACCCAGCAGCGGAGCCCACTTTACCTCGGTGTCCTGGCCAAATACTCGAGCACGCCCCCGCCCCAGACAACCGCGCCCACCGTCCCACTCTGATGAATCGAGTCCCTAAGCCACCAAGCCGCCGGCCACGGCGAGACCATTTCCCCCACCGGCCACCAACCCACCTTCCCCGCCCTATTGACCGCCTCCCTCGCAGCCACATTCAACACCGCGACCTTAACAGGACTAAACCTCTGCCTATCCTGCTTTTTCCCGGCCTCGGTGAAATAGCTCCCCTCGGCACTCCACAGGGTATGCATCTGCCGCCAGCGTATCTGCGGCTGCGGCCCCACCAGCGCCCGCAGCCGCGCCAGAAAGTCCACCGTCCCCTCGACGAACGCGTCCACGAACCCGTCGTCGAGCGCTACCGGCGCGTCGCTGCCGGCGTGCGCGCGCTCGTGTAGCCGGTCGAAACGCGCCAGCTCCCATAGGCCCACGTTGGCGATTACTAGGTCCGGCCGCGTGCCCGCGAGGGAGCCGGGGTGGAAGAGTGTGCTGTATGCGCGCGAGAAGACGGTCCAGCGGGGCGCGAAGTTGGCGGGAGAGGTCCAGGTGGCGGTCTTGTCGCGCCACAGATCCAACGAGTCGTAGCCGTAGAAGAAGTAGCTTGCTAGAGTGAGATTTTGCAGGCCCGAGGGGCCGGAGATCTGGCAGGTACGTGGGAGGCCGCCGGCGCCGGTGGGGTGGTCCGGCGCAGAAGAGGCGTAGGTGCTCACTGGGTAGATAGTAAGCTTGCCCTCGAGCAGGTGGCACATGTCGTCGACCAGGAAGCGGTCTACGCTGTCGCCGACGAGCAGGACCGTGCGGTTCTGCAGGGCGGCGATCGGGCCGCCGGTGTTCAGCTTGAGCTGCGCGAACCAGCTCGAGCTCGAGGGCTTGCAGTCCTGTGAGAGTGAGGTGAACGTGCTGAAGATCGGCTTGCTGCGGTTGAGTGTCACGAAGGCCGCGGTGAATGGGTCGCAGGTCGGGTCTGTTGGGTCGAGTAGGGTGTCCGGTGGGGCGAGCACGGAGGCCGGGAGCAGCCCCCCGGCGGAGCTGGGGTGCTTGGGCAACGGCTGCAGCGGCGGTTGGCGGCGCGAGAAGTCGATGTCGAGTTCTCGTGGGATGAGCAGGAGGGTCCGGTGCAGCGTGAAGACGAAGTAGCCGACTATTATCAAGGTGACGACCACGGCTGAGCGGCGGCCGTTGATGTTTTTTGGCGATATCATTTTGTGTGGTACCTATTGTTGATCTGACTCGAACACAACAGATGGCAGGCAGCGGGAGGGGCGGATGGCGGAGTGATAAAGAGGCAAAAGCAAGTTTCAGGAGGAGGCGGAGGAGGCACGGGAAAAGATATTCCTCAAGCTGAAGCAAGCCACCGGGGGTCCAGTGCGAATCGCGCCAAACAGAGCAAGCTTCAGCCACGCTCACCCTCGATCGGAACGGCACCAGCACAGTGCTGGGTGCTGCCACACGAATCCCCACACCCAAGTATAGACATTGGCCGTAGATAACGTAACCATGCTCCATAGCTGTTAGTTACATACAACTTGCAACTACAACTTACCATGCCGGTACCGTCACTCTAAAAACAGGTAGGAGCGCATTGGGATCTGCAAGCGTAGTAGTATGTAACTGCGTAGGTGCCCTGTGAAGTTTGAAAGACGCCAAAGGCAGGCGAGATGGGATGATGCAGATGCGAGACAGGCATCGTCAATGCAGTGACTGGATCGAAGCAGCCGTGGGACGGCTTCCTGGCAGGCATGGACTTGGGTATGTGGTGTGGAATTTCCACTCTGCAGCCCGCGAAACGCACGGTATGTATGTAACGGCGGGCACCCGGCAACACGGCTAGAACAAAGCAAGGAGACGATCCGGCGCTAGGAATGGAGTGGGGATTCAGGAAACGATCACCGTTTCCGGCGAGAGAATGCTCGAATCCTCGAATGCGAGCGGTGGTGAATGACGTTGCGTGCTTTGGAATATTCTGCGGCAATTATCCCCGACTAGCTGTGATCGCTTCCGTGAAGGGTGAATGGGATCCGCGAGAGTCTGGACTGGACTGCACCCACCGGTAGCATAGGGAAACCCGTAGGTATGCCACTAGCCATGAACTCGGATAGCAGCAGAAACGAGGGTCAGTGCAACGAGATTTAGATTCTGCATGTTCATGCGACAATTCGGGGGGCAGGATGGCGTCCGTTAGAGCGCAAAGATGTGTGGCGAGATGAGGAGAACTTTTGTCTCTGGGGATGGGGTGGAGGGATGTGTGTCGGGCTGAAGTCTGCCAACTCACCAGCTGAAGGGGTGCGGAGCGTGGAGGTTAGGGTTGGCTTCCTTCTGCATATGATACCTCCCTGTGTACCCGAGTACCTACCGGATGGCTGACCCACCGCCGCTCCACTACTCGTCTGGACTCCCGACTCCCGACTCCCGAGACAATCGATCGAACAATTACCCACACGACTGGCCACAAGACACCGACCTCTTCTCAGCCCTGGGTTGATACCTCGCGCTGCTGCGCCTGTCGGAGGGGAGGCACCTTCTCGAGTACCTCTGTACTATTATATTTATTGAAAGACAGCCCTATGATGGTCCTCAGAAAAGCTTACTCTCACATCTCCGGATCCAAACCTCGGATGATCTGCCGCGAGGGTCGACTCTACATACTTTAATTCTATGTACGGCTCTAACTGGTACTTGGCGAACCTGGGTTTGACGGTGTCCCTGTTTTAGGTAGAAAGCGAATACATTATTAGGCACAAACCTATTTCCTACCGTTACAAGCTATCGCGCTCCGGTCCGGCGTAAGAAGAACCGCGATAGCCGGCGTGACACAAATACGACACTATCGAATGCCTTAGCCTTTGTTTCAACTTTTCGGTTTACTGGCCGCGTTTCAATCTACAGCACTATGAGTCTGAGACTGCTACTCGGACAGAACCTTACTCTTTTACCCAAGCTTCCAGCCATGAGACGCGGGACACGCAGGGACGAATAATACATACCTAACTCGAAAACATTCCACCAACATTTTCGCGTCCTCGTTCTGCACTTGATTTTGATGCAGCATGCAACGGCCCGGCAGGAGCCGTGGATTTGCAGCATGTAACCCCAAGTTCCAACAACTGCACTGCTCGCGGACCCTCAACACTAACTATTATACTTTTGCATACGCCTGTAGGTGCAAGGTGACTGCCAAGGTCAATGTGCGAGAGCGACGACTCGTCCTCGGGCCTTATACTAGTACTGGAGAATCGGATAAATAGTTACCTGAATCGAGTGATATGTCTGATATCACTCGGTATTCTACAATGTCTAATGTAATATCGAGTCGTTCGTTTCTTTGTCAGTCATGACGGGAGGCACTAGCCTACTACCTCTCTTTTCTCTTTTCTTTCGACTCGTTCATCACAATCCAACATCCAAGATCAGTGGCCAGGTAGAGTTCGTCTCACGGAGATGTCCCTTCGCAACGGTCCACAAATCCACCCCAATCCCACCAAGTCGATACGATCGCTGGATTGGGCATGGGCAGTACATACCAACTCTGCTGGTTTCCTTCTTCTCGAGATTTGGAGAACGTTCCTATCCGTTCTATTTTCGGGCTGGTTGGTCTGTTGGAAGTTGGTCTGTTGGAAGTTGGAAAGAAACATCGTATCCGTCCAGTGCCGGTACCTTGCTGACGCGTCGTCGAGATGACCGCCACAGGTCCAACGGACAGGTAAGATATCATCATATTGACGCTTCTGTCATGTACTTGAATGTTTTTCAACTGCTGTCTCACCTATCACGGGCACTTCGATGGCCGGCTCCCCTCCGTCATGCCGCGCGTTCGAAGAGAAGAGCCCATCTTCGATCTGACCACCCGCCCGCACGACGCCGGGCCGTCGGCTGGGAAATTCTGCACAACTTCTTTCTTCTATTTCTATGTACATCCCCCAGCACGGTTTACCGAGGCTTGTTGACTTTTGTTTCCGAAAGACGGGGAAGGATGCGGACCCTGTCGAGGGTAGAGTGGGGGCTTAGAGACCGTTTATTGCCTACAGTAGCCATCAGGGTACCCCCCTTCCTCCCGAACCGTTGAAAATCCAGGTGGATGAACCGCTTGACTCGCCAACGAAGAACCAGTTGAAGATTTTTGGCGACAGGAATCATCTCGAGTTATGAGCGGACCCAGTGAACAGGAGTGCGGCACTGCGGCATCGCCAGCGAAGTGTGTAGGAAGCCGCAAAAAAAAACATGGTGGGCATACGTACTCTACTCGAGCCCATACTGACTAGCCTACTATACATAACCACCAAGGTTCCCTCCCTCACTCTCACTCTTCCTCATTCGGTTGCCAGCTGCTGCAAAATCATACCGAAAAACTGCGGCAGTTCTGCGGGGCCAACGATCTCCTTGGATTCGCGATTCCAATTATCAACACCGCCTGCGACGCATGCACGACCCATTGTCTTTATGCCACCGCCGGTCGTAAATTGTATATTGGTCATGACCATAACCCATCCAGGTTCCTAGGGGTCAACCCCCACAGGTAAAGTACTTGCTAGTAGATGTTTGTGCGCAATTTCGACAACGATATTGTAGGGCTATTCATCTTCTTAACCCACTCACACTTCTCTCCGCTCAGCCCGCTCCGCTCTACTCATGTTCTGTTCACGCTGCCCCGCCGTCCTCTCAACCTCAATCAAATCCGCTCCGACCGACCCACATAACTCACTCGACATCCGAGAACTCAGAACCAACTCCGAATACGAATACCGCTAATCATGTCTTCTTCAACGCTCACGGAGGCATTGGGTCTGCTGCTACGACGAGCAGAGGAGGGAGAAGAAACAGCAGCTCCGGCCTGTGAGACGGGAAACGGCTTTGATGGCAACGTCGGCCTGCGTGTGTCTGCTCTATTCGTGATCCTGATCACTTCTAGTTTCGGTAACCACTATGCCCCGCCTTGGCTATTCTCTCTCGGCCCCGAGATTCTGATTTTCCCAGGTGCCCTCTTCCCCATCTTAGCAAAGACGTCTAGCAGACTCAACATTCCGGCGGGGGCCTTCTTCTTCACAAAGTACTTTGGCTCGGGAGTGATCATCGCAACCGCCTTCATTCATGTACGGTTCTCAACAGGGCTCCCCTTCACCCGTATATCAACTGACATCCAGCAAGCTCCTCACGCCAGCCAGTGAAGCATTGACCAACCCATGTCTCACCGGCGTCATCACCGAGTACCCATGGACCCAGGGCATCGCTCTCATGTCCGTGTTTACCCTCTTCTTCGTGGAGCTGATGGCAATGCGCTACGCAACCTTCACCAGCTTCACCTCCGAAGCCGGCGCCCAAACCACAGTCTCCGGCGGCTCCTCGACGACCACCGGCAAGTCCGCGCCAGCAATCCAACCGCACAACCACACCAATCAGCTCCGCTTCAGCCAAACCTTCGAGCTGGAGCCGCACCTCTCGCACCTCCCAGACCACGCCGACCCCGAGTCCGCCGTAGTCGCGAGCAGCACCGAGTCGTACGCCGCACAGCTAACCTCGCTGTTCATCCTCGAGTTCGGCGTGATCTTCCACAGCGTGTTCATCGGGCTCACCCTGGCCGTGTCCGGCGAAGAGTTCAAGACCCTGTACATCGTCCTCGTGTTCCACCAGATGTTTGAAGGTCTTGGTCTCGGCTCGCGGCTGGCTACCGTCCCCTGGCCGCACGCGAAGCGCCTCACCCCGTGGATCATGGCGCTCGCCTACGGACTCAGCACGCCCATTGCCATCGCCATAGGACTGGGCGTTAGGGAAACGTATCCCGCTGAGGGCGCGACGACACTGGTCGTCAATGGCGTCTTCGACTCGATTAGTGCTGGCATCCTGCTGTATACTGGACTGGTAGAGTTGATGGCACATGAGTTCCTCTTCAGCCATAGCTTGAGAGACGCAAGTACCGCGACGGTGTTTGCCGCTTTCGGGAATATGGTGTTGGGTGCTGGTAAGTTCTCTCGCCTTCTGTTGATGGAGGAAACTAGGAGACTAACCTCTACATTCGAATAGCACTCATGGCGCTGTTGGGGAAGTGGGCGTGAACAACAGCAGTACCGGTTGGGAGTGAGGCGCTGCTGCACTCCAAAGTTGTCTGGATAATTGGGTTTGAAAAAGGGAGAGAAGACCATGTACATAAGGATACCTACCTGCAAGCACCTATTTCTTGCAGCCTTGGATTACTTTGGATGTTGACTCTGTGGCGTGTACATATCATACTTTGTTCCTTCGGCCCGCTGTTCGAAAGAAGAAGCTACTGTGCGAGAAATGTGTACCACTATATAGGCTCTTGGCCTCCCGAGAGTCGAGTTGGAAGTGGTAGTGACAGTGGTGAGAGAATAACGGATGAAAGTTCACTCCGTTTACCGAGTGGGAGTAATGGAGCGGGATACGTAGCGATCACTCGGTAGCCATCCCAAGTACTCTAGAGTCCAGACTCATAAGTGACAGTTGACACGTTCCGACAGCCAGGTTACTACATCAAGCTAACCCGGAGTAGAAACTGAAACGATGTGTAGATAATCTTCACCGCCCGCCGTGATCATCTCTAAACCGGGTATCATACCAGAGCTACCGGGAGCAGCGAGAGCTCTTGAGTCTTGCCACTGGCCACTCGGTTCTCCTGGGCTGGTGGAAAGCGCATGGTTCATGCTGCTTGCTTGCTCGGGCACGATTCCACCCATGAGCGAGTGTGGATGCACTTCCGCTCGGCGATGCCCATGTGCACACAAAATCTGGGTTCTTCGGGGACGATCGAGTGATAGCAGCGGTGATGAGAAGAGATGCGGTTCGTGCGATGCTAGCTCTGGCGCTGATATCAGGCGGTTGTATGTATGTTGAACACATACACACCGGCGAGGCTGGGACCTAGGCAGGCGCTGATGTGTGGAGATTGTACTGCTGGAACTTGGACACTCCGCAGAGGCTATATGCGTTCCAGCCTTCCAGGCTCAACATCTATCTGAGTACGCATAGGCAAAAGTATCACGTCCGATTACTAGTACACCATTCGGATAAATCAGCAACCGCCTGTAGAGTACATGGTCGGCCAAGATCTTTATATTATCTTTCCGTTCAGGCCTGCCCCCCAGTTCCAATGGCCGCTGCATTCATCTTCGGCTGCCCGTTCATCACGTTCCCACATAACGTTGCGCGCAGCCGTGCCATCGTCGAAGGAAATACCTGTATATGTGATCGGCCACTAGGGATTGATTGCGGAGACACCGGGTTGCCTCGATGACATTTCCTTCAGCTCTTTGAGGCGGTTCTGTTGGTCTCACACGCTCAAAAACACACGCTCCGTTCGAAAAGGTAACGGTAATTGCATGCACTGGTTCGGAATATCTTGTTCTGACTACAGTGGCGATAACTATGGGCTACACTCGTCCGCATGCTATGAAGTCTCGAGCCTTTAGCCATTGCAGCTAACTACCGTATTATCTCGGATAACCGTCCGGTGGGTGATATGGATTTGGCGTAACGAAGCGCGCACTAGCGTATATCGGGTTAGCGCCGGCGCGGCAAAAGAACATCAGTCGATTGGGTTAGTGCGGCTGAAACTCTTGAAGCATCGTGGGAATGGCAGATGTAGAGCATTGCAGTACACTTTACAAAAATCAAGTCGATAGAAATCACGAAACCATTATGGAGAACAACAAGGTCATCTTTCCTGCGAAAATAGCACACGCCGACAGAGTCATATCAAATTCGCAACTCTTGTTCTTACGTCTACGGCTGAATATGCTCCTGGCAACGACAGTGATGAAGACAAAAATATCGGACTGATCGCTCGTCGAAGATGTCTACAAGGCACAGTGGGCACGCTCTTGACAAACTCGGTTGACGCGCCCTCAACAGCAGACTTGGTGGGCGCACTCATGCCAGGCTCAGTGGACGCGTTCTTGCGTGGCTTGGCGGGGGCGCGCTCTCGGCAGGCGCGCTCTCGGCAGGTTGAGTGGTGCAGGTTCGGTGGGCGTGCCCGTGGAAGGTTCAGTGGACGCATCCTCGGCAGGCTCAGCGGTCACTTTCTCAGCGCGCATGGGAAAAGATGCACGTTCCAGTTGAACTAGTAGCTGGTAGCCAAGAGAAGCAAGCAACTGGATGAAGTAGGTAGGCAGCATGTGGTTGTAGAGCTGTTTGCTAATATTAGCGATACTGAAGACGATGATGTTAGGGAAGTCTGTTGGAAAGAATCGGTCTGAAGTTAGATGATCTGCATGAATAGACACATCACGGGAATTTTGCGCTAGTGATCATGATACTGACTAAGCGCCAAGCGCCTCAAACCTGCATGCAACGGTGTAAACGAGTTAGAAAGCCCGCCAAGCCTGTGTGTAACAGCGCTAACAGCTCAAACTGACCGAACGGTTATCCGAGATAATACGGTAGCCCGTACATAAGCCCGGCCGGTCAGCGTCCTATGTATACGCATATCGAGACGACTTAGCCGAAGTACGATAACTACTCGAGTATATGTATAGACATATATCGGTACTTCACGGGAACCGTGATCACATGCAATTCTGGGATCCACAACGAGTGATAGAATCGGTAATAAGCGGAAATTTCCATACTCTACACATCAGGATTAATCGAATCATATGACGTTAGTTAGGGTGCTTCAGTATCCCGACGACGACAACGGTTGTCGAGTAAGTACTTGCCGGACCCATGCGGAATCCCCAGGTCGCAGTTGCAGTGGCAGTCGCACATCTGTTTCGCGAGACGAGAGTGGGCGGGCGAGCCGGGTCCGTGTATCCACGCTACTACCGTGCATACATACCGTATGTACCGTACTTCGTGAATTCGTTGTGGGAAAAAGTCATTTTCGATTCGATGGAAGACAGATAGCCGACTCAAACAAGTTACAAGTGGGCCCGCGATCGGATCCAGGATCACATTACGCCCGCCCGCCCGCCCGCCCACCCGGGGTCCGGGTTCATCAAGGGGCGCTGCCTTGCGACCTTTGTACTAGTAGCGCCTCCCCCGGGCCCGGTAACTGGGAATTCTTGACAAACTGAAGCCGAGGTGAAACTGAGGCCGAGGTGAAACGCTGGAGTCGATCAGTCAGTGATCAGTCACCGTACCCTACAAGTTTCGGAGGTCCCTCTTCACAGAAGCTAGGAGTTGGTACTCTTGAGCCTTGATGTTGGAGTGGCAGAGACGAACACTCATGGAACATTTGGAAAAGCCACACCATTCTGGCAAATGTTTGCTGTTCCGGTTCTGTACCGGTAATCGTCAATTCGATGAGGGTGATACCTATGCACGATTAGATGGAGTTCTTAGTTGGTACAGATAACGGCAGATACATAGCCCAGGTTCCGGTATTCGGGCCAGCTCAATCGTTCTGCTTCGTTGTGTAGCCTCTAGAGTAACCTCCACACTATGTACTCTAGAGGAGCCTACTGTTGGTAGCCTTTCTGTTGTTCTCCATTAGCACTTTCTCTCCTTCGTCCCCCTATGCAGAATTCAAGCAGCCTAAGGCTATTCCTTCTCGTCCCATCTTCGCATCTTCTGCTGATCATCGCGTTCCTAGATAGGGATGAGAGATTTTCATTGGATCGCTGTTTCAGATATATTTCATTAGATACCCCACCGTTACCCAGAGAATTCCGCAGCCCACCTGGCACCCATGGATGCCCACAATATTTTATGTAGGCGGTAGCTGTTCGCTACCTTATTTCGATCCTGAGCCTTGCGACAGAACATTCTATGCTGTGGATCAGATGTTTTGATGGAAGAAACCTGCCTTCCGTATCGCTGGTTTCATGGAAGAGGACATCTACACACACCTCAGAAGTCCCAGGAGGAGGTGGAGGAGGAGGAAGGCCCACTTCTTAGCGCCCCAAAGTAAGTCCCCTGCAGCGGCCCCCGCAGGGGCGTCGTGCTGATGATTGATCCAGCATGCAGGACTTCAGGCGCAACATCTTGGATTCTTGGCCTTTGGCACTGTTGTGTTGACGATTCGCCAATGCATACCTATGCCGAAATCAAAAACCAAAGCGGTGCGGATAATTCCAGAGAAGAGTGACCATCAGCTACCGGCTACCTCCCGGGCCCACATCGCTCCGGTTTACGCAATGTTGTCTGCCGATGGCTGAGGGACCAATACCTACCTAGATCATTCCTCCTCGTGATTTCGTAGTAGGAACCGCCGTGCGCCACGACAATGAGGGCGAGTACAAACCGCCATCCTTAAGGTTTATCGTCACTACTGCACTGGTTTATTGCAGCCACACGGAGCCATACCTTTTGCGGCCTAAACGCCAGGTGTGAATCAAGAATTATATTGGCATGCACCCATGTACACTCTGTATGTTGGATTTCATCCTCGGCCTGAAGTCAGTGACAGCATTCCCCCTGGCAGAAGCTGGCAGTCCAAACGTGCATGCTGTTTGGAGTGGGGATTCGTGTATAGCCTCATCCTGACAGGTCGTATAGGAAGCGGGATGAAGTCCTGGCTAAGGCGACGGTGTGAAGCACCTGCCCCGTTATTACTTATAGGTCTTGGACTCAGCGGCGGAAAGCAGATGTATATTCCTGCAATTCCCTTCTCGTGTCGATGAATTGAAGAGGCCCGGGGGTGCGCAAAAATGACAACAGCATAGCTTTTTTTCTCAGCGGAGACACCAACAGCATCAATACGAACGGAAGGAAATGGCGCTCGACCCGCCGCAAGAAGTGGTCGACTCATGGTCGGCTCCCAACCTGGTCAACCCGGAGACACGAGGGGGTGGATTGTTGATACTGGCAATTGTGCTGTCGGTGCTTGGGGCGATGGCTTTGGCGTTGCGGATATACTCGAGGGTGTTTTTTCGACGGAACTTTGGCGCTGATGATTGGCTGATCCTTCCAGCGGCGGCACGTCCTGTCCCCACATGCACTGTTATGACCGGATGGTACTGACTTGGATGCAGATATTCTTCCACGGATTTGCCGGAATCACGATACTAGGGTGCATGAGGTTCAAGTGGGGATATCATGTGTGGGACATGCCGTTCGAGATGCGGCAAAAGTCGTTGTTGCTCACCTGGATCGCCGAGATCTTCCTGACGTGGTGCCTCATGCTCACGAAGCTGTCCATGTGCTTCTTCTATCTCCGGCTACTGGGAGGCACGCAGAGTCGCACTCACAAACGCATTCTGTACCTGTTGATGGCAGTGATAGCTACTTGGGGGGTTGGCTTCACCGTGGCCATCGTCCTCCAGTGCAAGCCCGTCAAGGCTGTCTACATCATCAACTACCCCGGCGAGGAGTGTGTGAGTCGCCAGGGCGGCGCAATCGCGCACGCAGGGCTCGATATCGTCACGGACTTGTTGATATACTGCCTGCCCATCCGGAAGATGTGGACGCTACAAGTTCCGCGGCGGCAGAAAATTCTTGTCGTTGGGCTTTTTGCGTTGGGTGCCATGTATGTCACTGCTGCTGCTCGCTTCCTCATGGATAGCCCGTTAGCTAACTTCGTCGAACAGAGTTTGCATCGCCAGCATCGCTCGTCTCCCCGCCACCCTCCGCTCCATGAGCGAGTACGATGTCACGTATTACATGTGGACCTCGTACCTCTGGACAGTCCTCGAGTGCGGCGTCGGCATCATGATCGCGTGCATGCCGTCCCTCACGCCTCTGGTGGTCCGTTACGTGCCCGGGCTAGCTCTGCAACACTCCTCGCACGGCACACCACCAAAATACATCCATCGCGGATCGAAGACGAAGATCCGCCACACCATGGCGCGCGCATTTCCGAACCTCCACGCCGCCCATAGCTATCCGCTCGCGGATATTTCCACGACCGTCACCGGTGTCGTCGGAGGCGATTGGTGGGGCGAGAGCGAGGAGAATATCATGCAGGGACATAATAAGAATAAGGCACAGGTGCCGGTCGAGGGCAAGATCACCAAGACCACGGTCATAGAGCAGACGGTCCATGACGAGGATGGAATGCTCTCGGCATAGTTGGAACTTGGAGGCGTGGTGGCGGTTTTCGAGTGATGAATTTTGGCATTTGTAATGTACATAATTAGGTGGCTTCGTGCACTCGAGGGGGACGTCGTGGAGGCGACATGAAGGACTGCTGGGACAGCCTCTGTAATTAATCACAACGAAGAGCAATACGGCGGCATGTCTGTTGTATTGTACATACTGTGCCGGTCTACCCCCTCCCAAAGCTTGTGGGTGTCGCGTCAGACTCGTCCAAATCACCGGAACCCACGGTGATCTAACAACGAAGCACTTCTGAGCCACCGTAGCCGACGTTAGACTGTTTTGGTTTTCTATATCCTACTTCTCTTAGGGACCGTTTGGATGGCCTCAGTTTTCAGTTCCAGTTTTAGAGCCAAATCCAGTTCCCCGCCGGGACACCGAATACTGTCCAGTTCGGTTTCCGGGGAACTTTGAGGTGAACAGAGTGTTTGGCAGTTCTCAGTATACTCAGCCACAAGTTTGAATAATAGGCTTCACCATAACTTTAATAGTGGACACATTGTGGCCCCGCTTTTTTCTCTTCCCCGTAAAGGGAGTCCATGGTTGAAGTTAAAATGCGATACTGAGTGGCGGCAAAAAATGAGCTCCCGAGGCTAGTACCAGTAACATCGCTGGAGCCGCACAGTTTCAGTTTTTTTCTCTCAGTTTTTGTGCCATCCAAACAGGGTTACAGTTTAGTTTGCTCAGTTTCTCGAAAAACTGACAGTTTTCGCCAAAACTGAGGACATCCAAACGGGCCCTAAAGGTATTCAGCCGTCGGGTCGGTCCAAGTGCATTTACGACATGATATATGACTCTGCATCACATGATGCAGCTTACTCGCCTGGCTATCCAGAATCCACACGGGTTGGGTATTCCAATGTAATCCTCTTTTCTATACATTAGAGCTTTAGTCAATAGTAAAATGTGGTGTTTTTAATCATCTTCATCGGGCGATGCTTGACGCGATGCTTGAGGTGGTCGCGTTGCCTTATCCTCGGTTGATGACATCGCTTCTCACATGAACGCTCCACCCTCGTCACCACCGTCGCCGAGCACCCATTACCCGCACCCGCACATCAAATACCCGACGTCCCACTACCACTCCTCATCTTCCATCCTTCATCGCACATCCCTCATTACCACCACCACCCCGCCACAAATAATAACAAAACCGCAAAAATGGTTGCCGACACACTCACTTACCACCCTACACTGGCCCACTACCTTCGCTTCGTGGCCACAACCGTCGGCCGCGACAAGGCCCTCCGTCTGGTCCAGTACATGGCCCGATTTCTCAGCTGGTACCTCCTCCGCAAGGGCTACGCCGCCTCCTCGATCGCGCCGTGGGATGCCATCAAGAAGACCTTTGGCCAGGCACGAAAGGCCATGCGTATCGGCAAGAACGTCGAGCACATGAAAGCCGCGAGCGAGGTACGTACCTCCTTTCCCCTAGATAGATGCCTGATTGGCACCCCCCCTGATTAGCCCGGTCAGCCGTGCTAACTTAAACCCCGCACGAATGTATAGGCCCTCGACTCAAAGACGCTAACACCGGTCGCTAAATACTTGACCGCATTGCGCCAAATCGGTTACGCGGGGTACCTCACCCTCGACACCGTCGGTTTCTTCGCGTCGACAAAGATCATCACTATGTCGCCCATCACGCAAGCGCGCTTAAACCGCAATGCGCAGAAGCTGTGGATGACGGGAATCGCCGCTAGCATCGTGCACTCGCTGTACCAGTTGCAAGCCATGCAGGAGCGCGAGAGCCGCATCATCAAGACCGTGGCGAACGGTAAACTCGAGGGAGAGAAGATCCGCAAGGATCGCGCGAAGCTACAAACTCAGTTGCTGCAGGACAGCTGCGACATCATCCTCCCCGCTACTGGGCTGGGACTCACCGGCTTCGACGAGGGCGTCGTCGGTGTTGCTGGTGCCATCAGCAGTTACTTGGGCCTCAAGGCGGCATGGCAAAAGACCGCGTAGGAACCATCGGTTGCCAGAGGAGAAGTGCTCTCGCTGCTGGAGCCGGATACGACGGAAGGGATGATGGTGCGTGGAAGTGCAGTTCCTGTTCCTTCGCCGCCACGAAAATGTAATCTTCGGCCTTCTTCACGTGCTCGAGTGCCGCCAGTGGAGGGTAGTGTATTGATAGGGAATGGGTTCTGGGTCGTTTTTGTTTTTGTTTTACTGCTGCGTCGGAGAGCGGGGCGGACGACGACTTTCGTGTTGCTGCTGTTACTGTCAGCTTGTCTTGCTTGATGCGATACGCCGTTTTACGTGTTTTTTGTTTGATCTACGGTTACTTTGCTTCGTTCTTTTGTCTCTTCCAGTGGTGGAGCATGTAATGGCGCTTACATCGACCTTGACGTCCGGATCATCTTTCGTTCGTTCGTAATCACCCTTGATCCTCGAAACATCGAGCACGCGATCCAACCCGTATTCACACGTCACCCCGAGCCGTAGTGGTATGCCGAGGCTTTGCACCGGATATAATAGTTACCATCAGAGAGAGAGAACATCAATTTATTGTCGCATGCGGCCTTTACCCATCACTCTCTCTTCCCGCCCTCGCCTACCCATTCGCCGAGTGCGCGCCAGTGATCCCGAGGCGCGCGCGGGACGCGGAACTCGGATAGCAATTGTTGCCGACCGGAGGATCCGGAAGATTCGCAAAGAGCAGACGAAACCGTGGCCGTCACACAACACACCACGCTCCTGGTCCACCAGAAGACAGTGGCCACTGGGATGGTAACGAGCATCCGGAAGGACCTCACAATAGGTATAAGAAGCGCGCTACGCGACCTTCGCAATGTCGAACATGCAACACTCATTGCACGGATACGTACATGTCATGTACGCGGACGGAGTCGACGAGCCGATAGATGACGACGTGCGGGAATAGCTGTACGGACGCGCACACACACACACACACTTGTAGCCGTTCACGAGTCATCACTCTCATTCGTACTCTCACTCTCGCGCTCCGCATTTGCACGCGGCGGGAGGGCGGGAGCAAATCGAACCGGGCGACTCGCGCCAACTCAGACCTCTATTTCTACTGGGATTCACGTCCATCTGCACCCTCGGGGGTGCAGCGCTCTCAAGGATTCTCCGAGTGATGGTATGTGCGTCACCCTCTCGGCCCGTTCTTCCTCGAGAAGCTAAGTACGTCCCCACTCCCCCACCCCCCCGGTATGACGTAGCGTGGCCAGTGAGCCCAGAGCTGGCCCTTGCAATGAAATGCCTGCGCATAAGGCTGATATCGAGATCTGTAGCCGAGATCGGCGCCTCTTCTGCCCCCCGGTCGCAACGTCACAATTACCCAGTCGCCGCCTGAAGCCAGCACAGTGAAGGTACAGGATTGGCTAGGCTGATACGGTACCGCCACTCAAAGATTGGAGTTTTGGGCATTGCAGTTGTGTCACTGCGTCAGACGGTGCAGACTCAGGCCGGATCACTCGTACGGCTGCGCTGTCGCCTCGTCACAGGTGTTTGCTCCGGTCGGCTGCGCGAAATGCGGATCACAAGCCACGCGGCAAATCTATCGCGGGCTACGGATGCGATGGAAATGAAACCCTATGTGTCATCCAAAGCGCCGGCGAAGGCGCGCCGAGTGAGATTCCGTGGACCCGGTGAAGGATGCTGCAAGCGCGCAGCCGCCCGTCGTCACCACGGTACTCACGGAGGGGGAAAAATGGTCTCGTTGGTTTCACGGGGAATCGCATTCCGCGCGCACCACAAAGGCTAACCCCCCCTCCCCCCGCTTCCCTCAATGAGCCATGTCATCCAACTACCTAAACAAGCCGCAGCCCCTGCGCTACCACCGCCCACCGCCCAGCGCTCTTCTCCCGGCAGCTGCCACAAGCAGACGCCAAAGGCAGCCACCAAGCACCGTACCGTACCGCTCACGCAAGACGGAAAACATATCGGCGTGTGTACATAGTTATGACGACGTGGCCTGGTCCCGTCTAGGCTTTGCAGTGTAAGTACACATCATGGCCGGTCACTCTCGCGCGGGAATGATTTCGGCCCTCCAGGAGGCGGGGAGGGGGGGAGGGGAGGGCGCTGTCCATGACGGCGAGGAGGATTGGTCACTCAGGCTTCAAGGCACGAGACGCAGTGCATGCATGTGTGCGTGCGTGGGAGAGAGGAGAGGAGAGGAGATTACTGTGCCGTCCACTGCACATCACCTACTCTACTCAACCTGCCTGGCTGCTTGCTTGCCTGCCTACGAGCAGCTGCTGCTTCCGTTCATCTGCACCATGTGTGCTTGCTGCTTGCTGCGTTGCTGATATCATTCCGTCTTGTGTTGACCGGTATCAGCAGCAGCAAACGCACAGCAGAGGTGTAGTGCATATGCAATCCGAATGGGGGGGGGGCAGAGAGAGGGTGGATGCCAATTCCACACAGAATCGTCACCCTGCGAACACTGAGGTGAGGATGGAGGAGAGCTCCGTACCCTAGCCAACGAGGATAGCAGCTCGCAAGCAACGCTAACGCCGAGAGACGCGGGGCTGCTTAGAACTAACCGCAGCCGTAATTCATTTTTATTTATTATTCATTTTTATTTTTTCCCTCTCTTGTTTTATTTATTTATTTCCTTTTTTCTTGCACTTTGGGGATGTATTCGGATAGCTCGTACATCGTACAGGGGCGTACCTCCACGGAGATGGGTTGGATTAGGGATGCGAATCGAAATCGAGTACATACCTCATACACACTATACCTACTGTACACACTTACATACATACACCCCTTCCCTCCCTCCCACCTACTCACCCTTTCCCAGCTCAGATTAGTGATTCTATGATATATAGGTACTTAACGTATTCACATAGAGTAGTAGGGGTGTGTTTGGTCATCGTTCCGGTTTTGTGGCCAGCCGCAGGACGCGGGGCTCATGCCTTGGGTTGCGTCTGTTTCTTGCGTCCAGGCCGCGGCCGGCCTACTCTAACTAGGGTCACTCTTGCGCGTGATCCGACGTAACCGTAAGCGGCGCTACTATACATGGGAAATCGCACCTGGTGGTGGGAACGGCTGCATGTTGTGTTCTGACCCGCGGCTTAGTTAGACCCTGGGAGGTGGCCTAACTAAGCTCGAGTCACTCCACTGCAAGGGCCGGCGGGAAAAGCGGCGCAGTGTGGCCCACGACAACACGCCGTGGGACTCTGGGACCCCCCTTTTCTATCGCGTGTGCCGCGGAAGACCAAAACTACCTACTTATGTAGGTTTTTAGTATGTGTCTATGTATCCACAGCAAACATCCCTTCTGGCTTCCACCGAGTTGGCACACGTCCCGCACCCCCCCTCCCTCTTCGCCTAGGCCTCGCATATATCCTTATCCTCCCCCTTCCTTTCTTCTTCCACCACAGGCTGCAAGTGAAGAGGACAAAGTGGATTGCATGTATGCGAGTTGCATCAATCGAAAGTGCAAAAAAAAATCCGTCTTGTACGTACATAGATACATACATACAGCCCATTGTTCTTCACAGCCAAACACGATTGGAGCTCTGGCGGGGGGGGGGGGGGGGGGGGTGGTGGGGCGAGTGGGAATGTATCATTCACCATCGTCATCATGATCAGGTCACAATGTCCCAAGTCCAACTCCCCCAGCGTCCCCGGGGTCCTGGTCGAGGGGAAGAGCCCTTGCGTTTGCACTCTACGTGTCACCGGCGAATGATCACCCTTCCCCCCCTCCCTCCACTAGGTCAGACCCACCCAACCCACCCAACCCACACACGCATCACACACACCGAGACATTAGCTCAACTGCCGCCTGCGCGCGGCGCCATCGGCCGGGCGTAAGTTATCCCCCACAAGCGACAGCACTGAGCTGAGTGGCTGTCACGAGAATCGAGGTGTGAGGTGAGGTGTGTGAGCAACAAAGTACGTATGACGACGCCGACACACACCCTTCCTTTCCTAAGTACCTACCTACGGACCTACGGTACCCACCACCCAACCATGTATGTGTGGATCCTCACAGCACGCCCTCACCGAGATGGGACTTGTCGTCGACGTAACGAATTAGTTCACCACGGACCGGAAATGCCAGCGCAATGGATCCTTGGCACAGATTGGTGTTGTCTGTTGTTCAAAGCAAGGCAAACACGCGCATGAGGGACTTGGTCGGTATGTGGTTATCCAGCTGGCTCGCTGGCTGGATTGCTGGCCGTTTGAACAGGATTGATGATGATGATGGTGATGATGTGAGGAGGAGGAGGGGAGGAGAAAGTTGCAAACCTATCCGCAGATGAAGAATTTGTGACAGAACCGGTTCCGCTCGAGCAAAGAACATATGTGGATTCCCACGTCCACATGTTCTGCTGTTCTGCGCTCACCACGGGCCAGAAGAAGCCTGAAGACTGAAGTTGTCTGCCGCACCCCCCTCCAGCAGACTCGAAATCGTCTCACTCCCCCAAGGCCGGACATGGTTGGACAGAGCGATGCGCGTGAACCATCCCCTTCCGGAGCGTTGGGGCCAACAATCAACCAGCAATAAGCAACAAGCGCGCCTTTGACGCCTCATTCCGGCGTTTCCCTCGTCCTCCCCTCCTCCCCTCTGCCTCACCAGCGCAGCAGCACCGTCTCACCGGACTAAGAGAGCGACTAGCTACGCATCTAGCCTGACGGGAATGGCAGGCCACAGGTTTGGTTTGGGATTTATCCGAGCGGAGAGTCGGCTGACATCCTGCGCCGCTGCGCGCGCAAGGCTGTGCTGGGACGAAGGAAGCCATGGCTGTGGGTTCATGGATGCTTACACTACACGTCCGCTAGATACCTACTCGGAGATTTGCACGTGTGCAGATCGACCTTTGGTGGGGGGCGTCCTACTCGGTGGGTGGCTTTGGATGTGAATGCAGCCACCCCCCATTCCACCATCAAGAGACTAGGTAGGTACATAAGGTAAGAAAGTGAACTTTTGGCGTGAGCTTGCACTTTAGCTGCGCAAGACATCGTAGTAGAAAGGAAAGGGAAGGGAG